CACAGTAACACAAAAAAGGATGAAAAAAACAAAAGAAACATTTAACAGTTAATAGAAAAAAATTACCTCAATACAAGGAAGGTTAGTTTTTAAAAGTCCATGGCTAATGTTATATTAAATGGTAAAAACTAAAATCTTTAAGGTTATAAACATGGCAACAGTGTCTACTCTTTGCTGTTTCCATTAAATACAATACTAGAAATCCACCCATTCAGGAATGATAAATAAAAGACATCCAAAGAAGTAAAAGTATGCTGTTTATAGAGATATGATCTTGATGTAGAAAACTGAAGATTTCACAAAGACCTGTTAGAACTAATCAGGTTTAGCAAAGTTGCAGTTCACAAAATCAGCCTTTAAAACTCAATTACATTTTTGTAAAATGACCAAAAAAAAAAAAAAACAAACAAACAAAAAAAAAAAAACAAAAAAACAAAAAAAACCCAAAGTTTTGTAATTAAATAAATTTAAAGAACATTTGAAAGAACAATTCAAAAAGAACAAATACTTAGGAATTTACCAAGAGGAAAGAATTGTATAGTGAAAACCACAAAGCAGTGCTAAAAGAAATTAAAGATGACAGATATAAATAGTAACTCATCCCAGATTGATTTATTAAAAAAAGTGACACTGTAAAGATATCCATGTTACCCTACAGATTCACTGTAATTCCTATCAACTCCTAATGATGGGGGGGAGGGTTTTTTTATTCTAAAATCCAGGTGGAATTTCAGAGGACTCTGAATAGCTTGGGTAACTTAGTGACAGCAAGATGCTGTCCCAAAATAAATAAATGAAGATGTAGCTCAGTGGTCCTGAGTACCTTTAAAAAAAAAAAGCCCTTTGAATGACTTATTGCTTGTGTATAATGTCTTCTACAGTTTTGGATTTCTATAGTTTCCAATTCTTTGATCTTTTTGTTGATAATGTACAAAATTCCAAGTACACTGCCTTTCCATGGCTTTCCTTCTGTTTCAGTTTTGTAGACAGTATTAGCCGTAAGTCATTGTGTGATGATTATTGTGTGATGCTAGCTGTGTGATGATTGTTGCACTAAGTCTAACAAAACTTCTTAAGCAATCTAATGTGGCTATAATAAAAAAAATTACACCAAACAATTAAAATTGATGAACACTAATCTCAAGTGTGTCCTTTTGCTTGGAGTCATTATATTTTCCCTACTTTGTGTCCCACTCTCCTGAATAGTTCTTTTATACTTCTACCACTTTCATTTTACACATCTTTAAACACTCTCTGTCTTAGCTCATTACCTTACTTACTATCTTACTGGAAAAACTGAAGTGCTCAAATGAACACTTTCATAATATACCATTAGGTCAGCTGTTGGTTTACTCGCATCTGCACATTTTCTTTTGTGATTGTGGCCCTCGCAGACAGCAGATAGTTGGGCTTTATGTATTGACCCTGTCTACCAGTCTGTATCTTTTAATTGAAACATTAAGACTATTACATTAAATGTCCTTATTGAAAGGCATGTACTAATTCTAATTATTTTGTTGTTTTTCTTGTTCGATCCATTTCTTTTTCTGATTTGTTTAACTACTGTCCTGGTCACCTCTATTCTTTCCTTTTGGCCTTCTTTCTACTAAGTGTTTTCTGTAGTGCTGGCTTGGTGGCCATGAGTTTCTCTAGTTCATACCTATCAAGGTCTGTAAGAGGTTCATTTTTGAAGGAAAAATCTTTTGGGATATAGTGATGTTGAGCATCAGAACTACATTCCAAGTCTTTATAAACTTTCAGATTTCTTGATGTTGATGGGTTTATATTTCTTTATGCTGTGATTTGGTATTTAAACAACTTTTAATATTATATCTTTGCTCTGAATTTTTGACATTTTGATTATGGTGTGTTGTGGAGAATTTTCTGGCTGTGTCTATTTTGACTTCTAAATGCATCTTTTACATACGTGACTTTGTTATTTCCTAGATTTGGGAAGTTGTCTGAAAAAAATTCCACAAAATAGGTTTTTATTCCCTTAATCAGTCTCCTCCAGGCCGGTTCTTAAATTTGTTCTTTAAAGTTCTCTAGGAGCTCTTAAGACAATCTTTTCATTGTTTTTTGTTCTTCTTTTCACATTACTGAATATTCTTTTCACTCACCTTGTCTTCAGGTCCTGATAGTCTTTTGATTCACTTTGATTGCTCCCCGGACTTTCAATTGAGTGTTGTTGTTGTGAGTTTTATGTACTTTATGTGGAATTTCATCCAGTTCTGTATTTGATGAAACCAGCTTTTGAAGAGTGATGAGTTTTTGGAGGCATCTTATGGCATTGTTTTCTCCTGATGGATATGTTTTTGTATTGAAATTTATAGATCAGTCGTAATGAAAATCCCTTCCACTGTGGGGTGTAGATCTCTTTAGTTAGAGGCTTTCTCCTAATAATGTGCCCTTGGTTTGGGGGATGACTCAGCTTGAGCAGCTTCTCAGCTTATTCACTGTACAGTACTAGGGTAAACTATCTGGAGCATTACCAGGAGAAAACACCTTTTTAAATGTGTTAAAAAGTTCCCTATTGGCTCATTAACCTGGGAAGACAAGGGCTAGTAAAAATGTGAACTAGGCTAGAGGAAAAAAGGACAAAGAAGAAAATGACAGTAAAATTGAGAGAAATAGAAGGAAAAGAGAAGAAAGTAAAAAAGAAAGAGAGAAACAAACAGTAGCTTTTAATGATAACATTTGTATTCCTGGAAAGGGGCAGGTTTGAGAGGTTACATAAAGGAAAGGAAAGAAAAAGGAGTAGGGAAGGATATATAAATTGAAAGCAAGAGAAGAAATGTGGAAATTGAGTCTATTCTATATAATAAGCTAATAGAAATGCAAAAGACCCCCTAATCAACCGTTAGTTGAGGAGATTGTAACAAAACAGGGCAAACAATTTAGGTGGAAAAGCAATAATTAAAACTTGTAGACAGTTATTTACACCCATATTACCTACACACACACAAAGAGAAAAAGTAGGTTTTAATGATAATATACACAAGGAAAGAAGGAAGGCAGAGGGCAGATTTGAGAGAGTATCAGAAGAGAAGGAAAGAAAGAAGAAATATAAGTAGAAAGAGAATACAGGATGGTTGAATCTACTTCATGAACTAATGGCAATCCAGATTGTAACTTGGTAAGACACCATAGCAGCAAAAACAATAGCACTTGTAAATACTTCATATACACACAGACACACTCCCAGGCTCTACACAATGAAACACTAAAAATATTGCATAGAAACCAAAACCAAGTTCATTCCTTCTTGTGGTCGTACTCAGAGTCAACTCTTGAATGCTGCCTGTTAAAAGGCATGTTGTGAATTTTTAAAAAAAAGTTCTTAGTCCAGAGTTCTCCATGTCTGGAGAGCAAGCAGGAGGCTGACCTGCAACTCTGCGGTTGTAGACAAGTACACAAATGGTCTCCCTGTGGCTGTACTTGTTTACATCTACCAACATAACCTTATCCTGTACGTGCGAACGTGAGACCAGAAAGTCCTGGCTGGCTCCTGCATCTGTTGCTCATGTAGTCCTTGGGCAGGTCCAGAGCATGGGTCTTAGCTCCATAGATAGATTTCCTGACTCTGCTTTTGGTGGTGTGGGGGGTAGTGTCTATATGTTACTCTCCTTACTCTGAATGCCTCTGGGTATGGTAGAAGTGGGTGGATGCACAGATCTGTCTATCCTAGGGGGCTGCAGGTGCTCATCTTTCCTCTGTTCCTAGCAGTGATGTCCCTAAACTCAGATATTCTCCCCTTGCAAAATCCCATTCAGTGGCTGCCACTCTGCAAACTGCTTTTTGTTTTTGTTTTTGTTTTTTTTGCAAGTGACCACTTCCTCCCAGTAGCACGGTGGGTAATTTATCCCAGGATTATAGAAAATGTGTGGGGACTTTTTGAGCCTAGGAGAGGAAATTACTAAAGATGGCTTCACACTCCAATTCCCATCTCTTTTCAATTTCCATTCATTCCCTTGATGATCTCTATTCAGTTTTGTGGGTTTCAGTGTCGTCTGCACATCCATGACTTGGAAATGCATTCATTTGCCTAGTTTTCCTTCCTGAAGTTTCATGTCCAAAAACATATTTAATGTCTCCTTTTGGATGTTTATTAGTAAAAACTAAGCTCTGAATATTCCCCTGCCTTCTCCCCAAACCATCGTTTTGCTGGTTGTGTTCTCTATCTTTATAATAATCTGCATTGTTCCAGTTGTTTGGGCCAAAACATGTCTAACAGTGCACATCTTTCTACATACTCATCTGCCACTGCTCTTCACATAGGCACTGTTAACATTTTCTGAATTGTTAGCTGGTCTTTCTCCTGCTCTTGTGTCTGCCTGCACTCTTATTTTTATATATCATTGGTGTGATTCTGTTTTATTCAGGTCACAGAACGTTAATCTTCTGTTTAAACCTTGTAACTTGCTTTTCTTTAGAGTGAAAGCCAAACACCTTCCTATACTACGGGATTTGTAGTTAAGCTGTACTGTTAAGCTTATATAGTCTTCCAACCTTCTTTATTCTATTTTGTTTACTATCAGAGTCAGTAATATAAGTGTCACCAATATTGAGATTTTTTCTTTTTATTATAAGCACCAAACATGCAGTATATGATGCCTGGCACATAATAGACTTCTGTTGTCAGATTTTCACCATTATGACCAAATATTCAAAAAAAAAACTCTTAAAGGAGGAAAAGCTAATTTTAGTTCACAGATTCAGAGGTTTCAGTCCATGGTCGGCTGGCTCGGAGTCTAGGAACACCATGACAAAGGAACATGGTAGAGGCCCATTCATGGGATCCAGGAGGTAGAGAACAGAAGGGGACAGGGACAAAATAACGTCCCCATGGTTGCATCCCAAAGACCCACTGAGATACAAGAAGTGTGTGTCTGATCTCTTGCACCTCTCAGGTGATTCGGGTTGACAGTGAAAATTACTGATTATAGCACTCAGGATTCCATTTTTTCCTTACCTAATTCATTAATGAATTTTATTTTCAGATCCGTGATTCAAATTGCAATTATGAGGCCTTTATGAACATTATTAAATTGAGTGACAATGTTGGAGAGCTAGAAGCAGTTAGAGATAAGGCAGCAGAAGAATTACAGTATCTTAGATCTTTAGATACAGCTGGTGATGGTAAGTGATTTATTTCAAGACTTTTAAGGACTAATATATATTTAAATAAAATTTTCATTTACCTAAATGCCATTTACACTATTGTTTTTACCTTAAATAATCTTTGTAAGTGTGTTAACATGTGCTTAGATTAAAAGTATTATTTTGTGAGCTGGGGATACTGCTCAGCGGCATAAGTGCCTGCCCAGCAAAAAGTATTATTTTCTGAATGTGAAATTATGACTAGTGCTACTATATCTAATGTATAGATAATCAGCCTGGTTTGGTTTTAATTAAATAATTTTACTATATAATTTCAGATTTTTAATTGAATAAAAATTGTGTATCGGTTATTTTGTTAAATCATAGTAAGTGTATCGGTTATACCATTACTTCTTTCTAGCGTATAATCTACTTATTTATTTTTAGATATCAACACTATCAAAAATCAAATAAATAGCTTACTATTTGTGAAGAAAGTTTGTGATTCAAGAATACAACGATTACAGTCAGGCAAAGTAAGTATTAAAGTACTTTTGAATTAATGATTAATTACAAGTGCCTAATAGGATTAAATTGTGTCATAAATGACCAGGGTTAATGCTGTAAATAGGACTTCCAAAGTTTTCTTTTATGTGGTATAGTATGAGTATTTTTAAAGTAAGTTAAAGACATTAGTTGAAACTGCTGGAGTGCTGGAAGGTCGGCAGGTCTGTGCCATGAGGTAGTTGTAGTCTTCATTCTGTGGGTAAGGTTTTGTTACATTGTCATGAAAAAGGCCTACTTAAGAGAAACTGAGTAAAATTTAGAAGACTAGAGGGTGAAACTGATTACTATGTCCAGAAATGTTTGGTATCCAAGAGAAAATTCAGGTCAGTATACCAAAATATAGGATGATTATTTATGTAACCAACAGGTGTTATCATTTGTCAGATGTGCCTTTGTAGAAATAGCTGTTACAGTTTGCACAGCAAATGTAAATGGGCTACCAAAATGTGATATGAAAGTTGACCTAATAAGTTGGGATACTACGTGCTACACTGGCCGGCAGCCTTCTAAATAGGTTGGCATGAACAGTGTCTGTAAGGGCCGGGTTCACATGACTACAGCTGAGTGTAGTGTGGAAGGTATTGCTGGTCAGCCTGACACTTTCAGTGTCACAGAGTTTTCCAGAGTTAATAATGGCAATAAAATTTTTCATCAGATAGATCTTTAGATTTTAGATCTGTCCCTCACAGTCCTAGTTATGATTCTGAAAACAAAGTGTTATTTATTTTTTAAGTGACATGTGAATTTTTTTCACTTTTTTCTCAATTTTTATTTTTTTATTAGTACATGTTTGCAGTACATAGTGATTACACTCCTCATCGGGAGTTACTACATGCACATACACATGCACATCTTAATTTATTTCATCCACTTTTTCCCTCTCCACTCTTGTGGTTTTCTTTCATTTTGCCAAATGTCTGTCTATTTCCTGTTATTTAGCTTTTATTTGGCTTACATTTTGGGTTTTTCATACAAGAGAAAGCATGCGATGTTTAAGATTATCTGATTTATTTCATGTAATGCTAGTCTCAGGGTGCATTCATTTTCCTACAAATGACTCATTTATCTTTCTTTATGATGGAGTTGTGCTCCATTGCATAAAAATGCCATACTTTTTAAAAACCATTCATTTATTGATGGACCTAAGGGCCAGATTTAAGGGCAGGATTCAGCTATCATGAATTGTGCAGCTATAAATACTAGTATGCATTATCATGTAATGTGATATCTAACTCTTTGGGGAAGATACCTAGAAGGGGAGTGACTGGCTCCAATGGAAATTCTATTTTTAGTCATTTGAAGAGTCTTCATACTGATTTTCATAATGATGGTACTATTTTACATTCCCACCAACAGTGTAGAAGGATTCCTTTTTTCCCATAGCTTTACTAACATTTGTTTATTTTTAAATTCTTGATGATAGCCATGGTTTCTGGAATAAGATGAAATCTCATTGCTTTAATTTACATTTCTCTAATGGCCAGAGATGTTGGAAGTTGAGCATTTGTATGTGTGTGTGCTCCATTTAAGTGTCTGAAGTTGCCTATTTTTTTTGCCTATTTTGATTAGGTCTTCTGGGTTTTTATTCAGATTTCTTAAAAAAATTTTTAAAAGGCAAGACAGAAAAAAGTGTAAAAATGATACTGAATTCCAAAAAAAGTAACAGTAAGAAATCAATACTAGTTAATATATTACACATTGTTGTCTTAGAAATTGTGGTTCAAGTTACAAAATCAAGGCATAAAAAATCAACAAACAATGACAAGACAAACTATTCTTTTTGATGAACTAACAGAGAATTAGTAGTATGGCTATCTATCTTGCACACTTAAACATACATATAGTTATATGTGGATACCTATAAGTTGTTCTTTCCTTTTGAGCACTGTTTCATTATTACAGTATCTGTGATACATTTTGGATTTTATTACTCTTTCAGTTTTTGCTATTATTATTGAGTTTCTACAGTAGACAATCTATGATATTTACAAATGTGATTTATTTCACTTATGAGTATAGTCTTAGGTTGTCTCCGTTTAGCTATAAAAGCCTCAAGATCATCATGAGTAATATTCCATTGTATAAACATACTACATCTTTTTCATCCACTCTTAGTTGTTTCCAAGATTTAGCTATTACAAATTGTGCTGCTATAAACATGGGTGCACATATATCACTATGATATGATCTTTTCACTTTTTCTGGGAAAATACCCAGGAAGTTAAGGGGTTTTTTTTGAGTTCTTTATACTTGCTAGATGTTAGTCCTCTGAAGAATAGCTGACACAAATTGTTTCCCATTCTGTAGGTTGTTTCTTCATTTGATTGTTTCCTTTGCTGTGCAGAGCTTTTTAATTTGATATAATCTCATTTATTGATTCTTATGCAACTAGGGTTCTGTTCTGAAAATCCTTGCTTATAGTCTTGTCTTCCAGAGTTTTATCTTTTTTTCCTCCAGCATATTGCGTATTTCTGTTTTAGCATTTAGATCTTTATCCATTTTGAATGGGTGGCCAGTTTTCTCTGTATCATTTATTAAAGAGGGCTATCTTTCCTCCAGCACATGTTTTTTGCCCCTTTGTCAAAGATCAGATAGCTGAGCATGCCTGGGGTTGTAAAAGCAGTTTAATGCAGAAATACATGGAAATACACTTGGGCCAAAACATTCCAGATTCTGTGCATTGCCTAATGAAAAAAGATGGCGATGCTTACATGAAACAGTTGTCTCAGTGCATAAAAAGCATTGTAATTCAGTGTTGTGGAGAAGTTATATTAGAAAATTCGGGCTGGTAGACAAGAAAGTCAAGTGTAACATAAATTCAAGAGAGGAGTTTTAAAGGACATATGGAACTACCCAAAAATATTTTTTCTCCAGAAGAAAGACCAAGGAACTCAAAAAAAGCAAGGGTGAGCTGGGTGTGGCGGAAGGATTGCAAGTTCATAACCAGCCTGGGCAACTGAGTGAAACCCCTGTGCAAAATAAAAATTGAAAGAGGGAAGAAGGGATGGAGGAAAAGAAAAGGGAGTTAAAGAAGGAACGAGGGAAGAAGAAAAGGGCAGGGAGATATAGCTGAGTGGTTAAGGGCTTGCCTAGCATTTGTGAGGCTTTGGATTCAATTTCCAGTATTGTAAAGAAAAAACAAAAAGAGAGACGGGGAGGGCAAACTTCCTTTGAGCTCTGCAGCAGACTGCTGAGAGGTAAACCAACAAGTTTTTTATGAATGTATTTATCAATAAACTTAAGGACCAGAAAAAAATAAAAGCTTTAAGAAAGCTGTATTTACTTATTTAGTATTTATTTGAATTGAATATTGTGTTAGGTGGACAAAATAAACTCTCTTTCTGGAGTTACCTTTTAGTTCACAGTTCGAAAATAAACAAGTTTCTGGGTATGGTGGTACATCCCTGTAATCCTAGCACTCAGAGTGGCTGAGACAGAAGTATCACAAGTTCAAGTCTAGCCTGAACAACTTAGTGAGACTTTGTGTCAAAATAAAAAAAATAAATAAAAAGGGCTAGAGATACAGCTCAATGCAGAGGTTCTCTGTACAATTCCCAGTACCACTAAGTAACTAAATAAACAAGTAGCATGCAAAGTCACCTTTTTGTTAGCTTCTGATATCTGCTATTAAAAAAGTAACATTTTTGAATACAGAAAATATTTTAAGATTGTTTTAGATAGGTGCTGAGTAGTTAGGTGATATTTGAAAATAGGAAAATCTGTGTAGCATGAGAGACTCTCCTGACTTTGAAGACTCTGTTAGACTGAGGTGAATCAAATACAGTGGCCCTGGGACAGTAATACCCTTGATGAAAGGGAATGTCACTGCCGTTTGGTGAATGAATGAGGAGTAAAGTTATAGAAGAACCTGGGAATTCGATCATACATGGTTTTCTGATTGTTAGGAAAATCAGTTGGAGATTCGCCATAGCAAGTAGCATAACTTGACTTAAGAATTACAGTGATTGACTGTAAAAAACAGACTTGATAGTGTGGTGAGATTAAAGATGAAAACAGACTTTAGCAGACTGCTATTCTGGACCAGGTCAGGGACCTCTGTGAAGGTTGTGAGAAATCATTGAAGACTAGATGTGCTCACAGGACTTGCTAATGGACTAAACATATGGGTAAGAAAGATAAAAAGGGACTCATGGATGTTTCTAAGTTTTTTAGCCTGAACAACTGCAAGAATAGTAGCACTGTTTACTGAAATGTAAAAACTGAGGGGTAGAGATTCCAAAGAAAGAATCAAATTCTACGTAGCTTAACTTGAGATCCCTGTTAAAAATTCAAGTAGACATGCTAATTGGTAATTTTAGAGTTCAAAAGATTTATGAAGCCTCAGTATTATCAAATGTTTATTTAACGTTAGAGACTGGATGAGGCCATGTGTAATAGTTACGTCTAATCAGTCATGTACCAACAACAGTCCTCAATTACTAAATCGCTAGTAAAGTTTTAGGAAATCCTGGGAGTATAATGTTTTAAAAATTAAGTGTAGAAAGTGATTGATGCAGGGAGAGGTCAGGTAAGTAAAAGGACACACTGAATAATGTGAAAGACTGAGAGAACTGACTATGCCACCCAGTAGTTGGCATGATCACTGCTGATCTAGTGAGAGAAATTTTGTGAAGCAGTGAAGAAACCTGATTGGAGTCTGTTGCAGACAATTGGAAGAGGTGAGCTGGAAACAGTGATGATAGATTGCCCTGTAGAGGAGGTTTACTGGATACGAGAGAAAAAAGTTGAGGGTTTAAAGCAGAACGTTAGGACGTTTAGTTCTTAGTGTGGTCACCATTTTGGCCTTGGATTTTTAGTTTAAAATTTTATTTGTAATCCATTGGCTTTACAATTACGCAGTATATTTATTTCCATAAAGAATGGAGTATTTTTTTAAATCTTGAGTTTAGTTTGTTAGCTGTATTATCACTTAATGAAACATTAGTGATAAAGAGTTAAAGGTTTAGATTTAAAATAGGCCCACATTTTATCATATATATGTGTCATAGTTAACTGTAACCACTTTATACCCATGAAAACTTTTCTTACAAAAGAAAATTGATATGTTTCATCTGTACCTTTTTTCTTTAGCCAGTTACCTTTTTTAAATCTTACTGATCTTTTGGCATCATTATTTAAAACTCTGTTTGCCCAAACACTTTCTGATAATGAATCCTTTTAAAATTTGGAATTGTTTTTAGAAGCCTTTCAAATCTGTATCTTCACTCCTTTGGATGATTAAGCAATATACTAACCTATGTTCACATTCATCTGTAGGAAATAAATACTGTGAAACTGGCAGCAAACTTTGGGAAACTTTGCACAGTCCCATTGGACAGCATTCTTGTAGACAATATTGCACTACAATTTTTTATGGGTAGGTAAATTCATTTTATTTAAGTAATGTAGCCATTGAGATTTTAAAAGTTTTTCATTGTGGTAAAATACGTAGAAAAGTTATTACTTTTAAGTGTATTTAAGTGATACTATATACACAGATATGTGCAGATCATTCCCTCTTCTCTAAAACCTAAAGCTCTCTGTCCATTATTAAAGTTGATTGGCATACCTCATCTAGTGTAGCATCCTCAAGATTCATCCATATTGTAACATGTCAGAATTCTCTTTTTAAAGGACAAACAAATATTCCAGGGTATAAGTATATATGCATTATGTATGTGCAAGAATGCATGCTCATGTGTGCACACAGACACTCTCACACCCCCAACATTTTGCTTATCCATTCATCTATCAAGGGATTCTTAGGTTGTTTCTGTGTTTTAGATAACATGAATAACATATGTATACTTTTAATTCTTTTGGATATATACCCAGAAATGGAATTGCTGGCTCCTATGTTAATTTTATTATTAATTTTTGACGTATCACAGTATGTTTTCCATAGCAACCATCTGATTTGTATTTTCAACACAGTTTACCTCCCAAGCCTTTCTGCAGATGTTGCAATTTCTTCAGTAGACTCCAGAGGTCAAAATTATATCACAGATTCTAACGGTGCAGTCATTGTATAGGTGGGGAGATAGATTTCTTACTCCAATATCTTCCTTAAAATTTTTAATAACTTAAGTATTATTAAATTTGAAATGGTTATTATTTGTATGCCAAATTAGATGCTACCCTTTATTCTATGAATTAGTCTTCTTTAGAAGCCATGAAAATCTATATTTATTTCAATTGATGGAAATAAATGCTCATCATAATAATTGAGCATTTGCTTAAACTGCTTTTAAAATATATGTTGGAAACCAGGCTTGGTGGCACATGCCTGTAATCCCAACGTCTGGGAGGGTGAGGAAAGAGGATTGCTATGAGTTCACGGTCAGCCTGAGCTACATAGTGAGTTCAAGGCCAGCCTGAAACTCATGGTGAGACCTTGTCTCAAAAACAAAACAAAACAAAACACAACACTCTAGGAGATTCTGAGTTTAAATTTGCTGAGAAAGCACTTTGTTGAAAATGCGTAGTGTGTGTAAATAACTTTTTCCCCCCCAGTAGTAGATTGAACCCATAGGCTCACAGGTGTCAGGCAAACACTCTACCACTGGGCTACATTCCTGGTCCTTTTAAAATTGTATCTTTAAAGTGTGCCTTGGAAACTTACATAGGCTGCCATTGAATTTCTTGCCTCAGTCTCTAAGTAACTGAAATTATAGGCATGTGTCCTATGCCCAATGACATAATTATGCTATTTATACCATTTTTATTTTTGTGTGAGAAAAAGACTTTTCATAGCTTTGGGGTTGAGGTCTTTTGAGACATGTCTGTCTGTATAGTTCAGCCTGGCATTGAACTTACTCTGTAGCCCAGCTTGGCCTTGAACTTAGAGTACTCTTGCTTAAGCTTCCTGAATGCTGAGATTAGGTTGTTTTTATACTGTATAAATATTTAATTATACTTATTTTATTAATATTACATAAAATTGCTTCTGTTTGGTGATATTTTCAGCAAAAGTTCCTGAATCTTCATTTGGGTGATAAAATGAACATAGTTGTTAAATTGCTAATACTTTTTTTTTTTAATATATCTGGAAAATTTTGTATTATGACTAGTAATCTTTATTCAGAGGAAATGTTGAATGTAGGTGAAGTAAGTTACTTCTAATGAAGCCTACATAGGAAATCTGTTTACCAGAAATTTTGCCATTAAAAATGAGATTTAAAAATTTAGAATTATGTGCTTCCTTTTGAGTTTTTGACACCAGTGTTTAGCTTAATCAGCTTGTAACTATTTTTTCAAGAATTTACTAAACATTTTTAAAATGTAAGGTTTTCAGTACTTGATACTTAAATCTTTACTTGTCATGCAGCCATGTGGCCCCAAATTGCGTAACATTAATGTCTGTTATGTGATGGATTTTTTTTGGCAGATTATATGCAGCAAACTGGAGGTCAAGCACATCTTTTCTTCTGGTTGACAGTGGAAGGGTACCGGGTTACAGCTCATCAGCAGTTAGAGGTTTTATTAAGTCGCCAGAGAGATGGAAAACATCAAACCAACCAAACCAAAGGTCTTTTAAGAGCAGCTGCTGTTGGAATTTATGAACAGTATTTATCTGAAAAGGTATAGATATATTTTGATAACTGTTTTCTTCTTTGGCAATATCATTGATAACAATTTTTTAATTCTTAAAAATTTGTGTTACTTATGCCAGACCTGATTGCTTATAAAACACTGACTTTTTTAATCCCAAGAACAATCTTAATGTGCACTTTTATCCTCATTGTTTAAGTGAAGATTTTGATGTTTAGATAACTGAATTACAGGACCAAGGGTGTAGCTCAGCAGCACAGCGCCTGCCAGTCAGGCACAAGGTCGTGAATTTGGCACCCTGTACTAAAAAAAACAAAAAACCTGAATTAGAGTAATATGACCAAGGTAATGAAAATATTAAAGTCAAGATTGAAGATCATATACACTTCAGATTGAAAGGTATGCTAGGTTGAAGGTAAAATGATGAAAAAGATAGAGAACTAGAATGGCTATACTAATAGCAGAAAAGTAGAATTTTAGATTAAAAATTGCTGCTACAGAAAACATTCTATTATGAAAAAAGTATCAGTAGATTTAAGGATGATAAAGCAGTTGAAACATTTCTGCAGTTAAAGTTCTCAAATACAGGAAACAAAACTTTATATAAAGAGGCATTTCACTGCTAAGACTGTTTAGTATTTGTTCTCAATAATTGATAAAATAGTTTGATGGAAAGTCAGTAAAGCTATAAAAGTTGAAAAACAAAGTAGCTAGACTTAACACATATAATGTTTCTCTTCATAGCAGAATACACGTTATTTTCAAGAATATATGGAACATTCTCTAGGATAAAACACATGCCAGATGATTAAACAAGGCTTAAACATATTTAAACCATATAAAAATTATGTTCTTTAATCAGAATGAAAGTAATGGAAATCTGAGAAATCTATAAATACTTAAAAATGAAATATTTCTAAATAATAAGATAAACTAGAATTTTGTTTTCCTAATATTTTTTAACCTGGCAAATAATATTGTGTTTTTATCGTGTACAACTGATGCCTTGAAAAAACTGTATTTTTAATTAAAAATGAAAAAGAATCATTGTATAAAAACTCACAGGATGCAGGTAAAATAGTGCTGTAATGGATATTTGTAGCTTTAAAATGTCTACTTAGAAGAAAAATTTAAGGTATAGTTAGATGATAGAAATGGGATTTTCCATAGATATGATCATATATTTAAAGAAGCTAGAGGAAAGGGTTTTCCTTTTTTTTTTTTAACCACAAAGAAGTGATTAATTTTTGAGGGGGTTGATAAGTGTAGTATGCTTTGAACCATGCATAGCTGTATTCGTATATTAATATTGCATGATACCTGCTCCATAAATATCTAGCTCTTATGTGATAATTGTTAAACTACAAGACATAAACAATGAAAAAAGAAAAACCTGAAACCAAGAACCTAGGTTTTCACCTTGAAAATCTAGCAAAAGAAAAACAAAATAAAGTCAAGATAAATGCATGGAAACTAAAGGTTATAATTAGAATGGGAATCAGTGGAATAGAAACAATAATGAAAAATCAGAATTAATAGTTGATTCTTTGGTATTCACAGTATTGATAAATTTTCAACTAGACTGACCTTAAAAAAATAAACGAAGGCAGAGATCATCAGAATCATGAAAGATGAGATTATCCCTAACCCTACAGAAATTAGAAAAGATATGAACAAATATTATGAACAGTTTAAAGTAGAAGACATGGACGAATTTCTCAGAAGACCCAAATTGCCAGGCTGACTCAAGAATACAGAACATCTAAATATAAAGTTACTGAATTAATCACTACAAATTATCCCTCAAAGAAAAGCCCAGGTCTATTTAGTTTTACTGGTGAATTCTAGCAAACATTTTAAGAAGAAATAATAAACTCTTCAGAAAATAGAGGAGAAATAACTATTGTCTTGTTGTATGAGGAAGTATTTTGATACTAAAGCCAAAGAAAGACATCACTTAGAAAACTAGACTAATATCCCTCAGTAATATAAAGAAAAGCCACAAGAATCAAGAATACTATGCTCACTGCACAATTATTAATGGTTATGCCACAGTACCCTTTAATTTGTTCTTACCAGCAAACACTGTTTGATATTATGCATGATTTTTATTTAAAGATTCATTAATGCATGTGCTAAAATTTTACCTTATGAAATACACTCAAACAATACAGTTTTAGGAATAATGTAACAAGCACATCTAAATATGCCATGCATCTTGAGAAACAAAACGTGTATGTACTGCACTCATGAAGTTCCCAATATACTTTGTTTTCCCTTATAATGTTTTATGTTCTTTCTTCAGGATGAAGTCAGTTGTCTAAATTTGAAGCTTATTAATTACTTGCTTCCCCATATATTTTTACCATTTAATATGTATACTTCCAAACAATATGTTACTTAGCAATTGTTTTTAATCTTGTTTAAATGGAACAATAGTATGGAATTTTCTCTCTCACCATTTTACTGAAATCCGTACACACTAATGCATCAGTGATTAGTTTAGTTGCACTGGACTATTTTACTGCATGGATATTCAGGAGGTTACTTACCTGTGATAAATATCTCACTTTTGGCAATGTGTAAAGAAGCTTAAGAAAAATGCAAAGACCATAGCAGAGTACCCTAAATAAAGGTTGAAAGTAATATATTTTAGTGTCCCAGTGGTAACAATTTGGATTATCCACTGTGAAGTCTTGTTGAAGACCTTGAAGGCCTTGAAGGCATGTCACTCAAATACTTTTATGGTAATTTCTCTTTTGCTAGTAAATTAATCTTGGCGTAATATTCATGCTTAGCAGTAGGATTATTGAGAAGAGTAAAGGAGATAACAAGGAATGACTATTTACCACACCTTGTAGTTATTGCTGTGTTTATATCTCGACCACTGGTGTTAGCAACTTTGACTATGGTTAACTTTCTTGTTAATCATGAGTGTTAGCAGGCTGTCTTTTACTTCTCCTGTATTATGCTTTGTATTGTGGTAAATTAGTTAAATTTTAAGAAACCATGTTTACAAGTTGAAGGAAATTAAGAATGTAATTCTCTGTTGTTAGGCATCTCCAAGAGTTACTGTTGATGACTATTTAGTAGCAAAATTAGCAGATACTTTGAATCATGAAGATCCAACCCCTGAAATCTTTGATGACATTCAGAGGAAGGTATTAACATATTTTATATTCCTTGGAAAAAATGTGTACTTCTATGTGCATGTAATTTTTCAAAAAGTTACTAGAATACTTAAGAAATAATAACTAAAAATATTACTATGGTAATACTTGCTAGTTAAAAAAATGTAAACCAATTAAGCTAGTTTTTGTTGTTGTTGTTGTTGATTTCTGTAATTGACTTGGAAAATACTTTGGGTTGTTTTCTTTGAATCTGAGTGTAGAGTCAGATACTCCAGTCTTGGAAAGTATGAGCCATTACATATACTTGTTTCTTCGAAAACACTACTTCATAGAACATTATGGATAATCTACTGTTATGTGACTTGTGTTGCCATAGGATCTAATTTAGCTACTGAAGGAATCAGGAAATTTACTAGTTCTGAGGTAGTCTGATGATTGCTGACATCTTGTAGCAGATGCTTTATGAAGCAAGATCTCAGTGTAACTTTTAGTGAAGTCTTCTCTATGAAAAATTACCATGTATTTATATTAATCATTGATACTCTTGATTTATTTCAATAAGGTGTATGACTTGATGCTACGAGATGAAAGGTTTTATCCTTCCTTCAGACAGAATGCCCTGTATGTGCGCATGTTAGCTGAGCTGGACATGCTAAAAGATCCCAGTTTCAGAGGCTCAGATGATGGTGACGGAGGTAAGGTGACATGCATTTTACATTGTGCATGTTTATATCCTTGTGTATTGTGATTATCAGAAGAAGAATGACATTTTAAACAATATAAAAAGTTTGTGCAGTCCAGGTATAAATTGTAATACATATAAAAATCTGTAATGAATGCAGATTAGTTGCTGTATCACAGTGTTGAAAATTTAGTACTAGATTATATTTACTGAAGATTTCAGTTCTTGAAGAATGTTTCCTTTAAGTGTGTCACGTAATACTTTTATAGTAGTTTCTCTTACTAGTAAGTTAATCTTAGACTGATAGTCATTCTTATCAGTGGGATCATTGAGAAGAGTAAACGAGGTAACAAGGAATATTTGTGTACCACAGATTGTAGAGTAATATAAAAGTTGCGGTTTTTTTCTTTCCTTTTTCAAATCCCCCATCAGTGACAGCAAACCTTTTAGAAACTAAGTGCCCAAACTGCAACTCAAAACCCACTTATTTATCACAAAGTGCCAACACTGCAATACTTGGTTTTGGTTTAGAAAAAACCACTCATTCAGTGCTTGGCTGGTTGGGGCAACTTGGCTCCTGTGTTGACAGAAAGGGCTGTGCGTGCTGTGCCATAGTTTTGCCACCATGATCCTACATAGTATGGAAGACTTTTCAGCTGGAAGCCATCACATACTCATTTATTCAGATCTTCAGCTTTTTCTAATTAGGACACTGAGACCTGTCAATTTTAGTGTGAAAACTGGACTTTTAGAGTTAGAAAAATTATAATGGAGTACTACTCCCCTATAAAGAAGGATCACATTGAGACTTTTATAGGTAAATGGATGGGACTTGAGACCATATTCGTAAGTGAAATAAATCAAAGTTTTTCTTGCCCAGAATCCTTGGGATTAGAAGTTTTTCATATTTCATGGTTTTTTGATTTTGGAATGTTTATGTTGGTTTTTATAGTTGTGTATCTCTAATCCAAAAGTCTAGAGTGTTCCAAAATCTGAAACTTTTTGAGTATCATGTAGAAGTTGCAGTCTTTTGGATTTTGAAGCATTTTAGATTTTAGACTTTTGGATTAGGAATTCTTTACCTATAAATATTTCTGTTTCATTAAAATAAAATCACAGATTTAAAAAAAATTTTTAATTATGCTTTTTCTCTTATATTTCAATTTCAGTCACATTATTTTTCTCATTTGAGCAACTTTTGTGTTCTCGTATTAATAGATATTTAAAAAGTTATTGATTAGATTTAGCCAAGACTGATTTTACGCTGTATTTGTAGATCTTATTGTTGATCAAGAAAATCCACTGTGCCTTATTTTGCTCCTGACTTCTCCTTTAAACTTACTTCTGGTGGGAAGATTTAAGAGTAAGAGGTTGGAATCCCAGAGAAGAGATAGGAGGGACATAGTTAATGAGGAGGAGAGTGGCTTTTGTTCACTCATTTTATAGAGTGCTTTCTGATAAACCAAGGGACAATCTCAGGTGAAGTTTGCTGTTTGCTTTTGTGACTAAAAGTCTGGGGAACTAAGAAATATTTTTAGGTATTTGGAGTTTAAAGTAGACGGTAATACAAACTGCCTCTTTGACAAGTAAATATAATGTTCTTTGAAGACCCATTAAGAGTACCAAATTTATAAACAATTTTGTGTTTAAAAATATTTATTAGCCTTACCTGAATAGCTATACAATAGTTTTATTTGTGTTTTTAACACTTTAGTTTGTAACTTACTTTACCTATGTATGTAATAAAGCCCTGAGAGAACAGATAAATTTAGTATCTTTAATTGACTTATTGCCTAACATTTATTTTAAACATTATTTGTCATGCTTTTAAAAAATGGCATTGTATATGGAGTTATCGATAGCATATGGTCTGTTAGTTATATAATGATTTAAGAATCTAAACTTCCAACATTTCTCAGTCATATCTATAAAGAAGTGGTCCTGATAGTTTCATTTAAGATCAATCTATTTGTCCCTCACTAAAGATTTAATTTATTTGTAATTTTTTCAATCCAATGAGACAGAAGTAACAGTTCTAATATTTTCTAATGGACTTAGTTCTGCAATGTGTCCCTTTATACTTTGTGTTGGACAAGCTGATATAATCCTATAAGAATAAAAATCAAAGTATTTAATAATCGCTCTTCTGTGAATGAATTTTTTTCTTTTATCAGCTGTCAGGTACATATATATTTTTTCATTGAAATGCCTGTTTGACTTGGAAATTTGAGAGTTAAAAGATTAGATATTTGGGAGTAAACTGTAATTTTTCTTTACTGTTTCTGATGTGTTGGCTTGTGTGATTTGTGTTCTTAGTGTTTGAACCTTAGAGAAAGCAACTGCTTTAAAAACTTTTTACTGAATATTAAGTTGAATTTTTTTTTTTTTTTTACAGAATCTTTTAATGGGTCTCCTACAGGAAGCATAAATTTGGTAAGTATTAGTATGGCTATTTTAATAGGTTTTTTTTCCTGGTACTGGGGATCGAACTCACAACCTCACACTTGCCAGGCAACTGCTTATGCTGCTGAGCTAAATCCCCGGCCCCAGCTGTTTTAAATATTAAAGTGATTTTCAGATCATATAAACATTTGAGTCTTAACATATGTGGATAAATGATGTATTAGAAGCTTCCAAATTGTTCTTAGTATCATAAAACATTATTATGCTTTTAAGAAAATGTGAAGTTCATGTATAAGGGATATATACATTAAAATTTAAATATATAATATTTTTATTTTTAAAAATAGAATTAAGCCACACCCACATAATTGCTATTACACTTCACAAAAGAATTAGTTTAATTATTTTCAGTTTCAGTGTTTAGCACTATGTGTTTAAAGCACTACAATTTCTTTTTGAGACGAGGTCTCATCATATTGCCCAAGCCAGCCTTGAACTCCTATACTCAGGCATTTCTTCTGCCTCAGTTTCCTGAGTAGCATTGAAGACATATCAGTGTTCTATGAAATTTTCAAATCAGAATTTGTTTGAAAAGAGGCAATAAGATAAAAGGGAGAGAGAGAGAATTTTTAGTTTTGGTCTAATGTTCTGCAAACTAAAATAAACCAGCTACAGTGCTATGTCAGATAACTTTGTGCCTTTTAAAGTGCTTTTCTAAATCATTTGATATCAGTACCACTTACATGTTAATAGTCCAAAATGTTACACAAAGAATGAATTTCATCTAGAACATAAAATGTAAGTAATATCCTGTTCACTATAGAAAGTTCCCAAATGTGAGGAAATTTTCCTTTGCTTGAAATTTTCTAGTATAATGTTTGTATAAGTGTTTAAATCCTGATAAATGTTTTTTTCCTCTAATCCATTTATGAAATAAATTCTTCTTCAAATAAGAAAAATAGATCTCGTTTGTCACATAGTAATATAAAATACGGCAGCCTCTGGGTTTCAAAGTCACATTAGAGATTGACTTTAATTTGTTTTTCCCATAATGTATTGAATTTAGGCATTTAAGCAGCTTGAGTCTTGCAGATTTTTTGTATGAATTTTGCTATCAGCATTTCAGAAGTAAAAATGTTAAACTGTATTGAGATAGCTTATTGCACTGTACTAAACAAAGGATGTGTTTGGTGTTTTGACTCAGTACAGCTTCATGCTTACATTTCAGATATCGGTAACAGGCTTTATACTGTAACTGCTATTTTAAAAATACTAGCTATTACATCCTTCATTGTGCAGTTGAGATTGACAGGTAAATTATTTCTAGCAATGCTGTTAAAAGTGTGTTTGAACAATCACAAAAGAAAATTTATATTTTCAGCTAGGTATAGTAGAATATAGCATAGACTTAGCTACTCAGGAAATTGAGTCAGGGAAAATGCTTGAGTACAGGAGTTTAAGGCCAGCTTGGGCACTCTGGCAGGATCCCATTTCAAAAAGAAGGTTGTATTTTTAGTTTTTGCCTTAACATAATGTTAAAAGCATTTTTTTCTCACAGGAAGTTTAAGACTCTTAACTGAAGGATTATTTTATAAATTATCTCGTTTTCCAGTACAACACTAATGAATTCATTTTAAAAATTTAACTTTAAAAAAAAATTAGTATTATGTTAAAAATTTTTTTATCATTGGGAAAATTGAAATACAAGAAGTAGTAGTTAATAGAGCTAAAATCTCTTAAGATATATGTAGTGGAACCTGCAGTAGCCCTAGTTTGATTCAGTTAGGGACCAAGAAAGCCCTGTATATCATCTATATAAAATTATTGCAGTTTGATTCTCTTGATGATCAGTCTTTAGTAGAAACACTTTTGGTTTTCTTCCTAGTGTACAGTTGCTTCAGTTCAAATGACTTTATATTCTATGAATGTCTACATATAAGTATGTAGATGACTCACAATAATAATTGATAATACATTAGGACTCACAGAGACTCCTTCAGGTCCTGTGGATTTAAAAATATGAAGTGTGTCTAATGTGTGCTAGTATCTATGAGTTGGGGTCCCCAGGACAACTCCCAGGCTTAGTTACTTCTTGAGAAGACGCATAGGACTCAGCAGAGTCATACTCATGTCTAGGTGTACTTACATGTGGCAAATGTCTTCAAATTTAGGCAAGATTTATTATGTATAATTTAGTAATTATTTTTGTTTGTAGAATTCTGTTTGGAAATTATAATTAAAGTTTAAAATTGCCATTTCAAAAATAATTTCCCATATGGAAGTCTTACTAATTTAATTTAATTTAACTTAATTTAATTTAATGAGTAATCTTAATAGCAGCTAACATTTGCTATGCTTGGTAGTTTTCTAAATATTTACGTATGTTTTCATTTAATCTCCATGATGAGGGCACTGTTATTTTAGAGCTAAGGAATCTGATTATTTAACTGATAAAACTATAAATTAACAAACTTGTTAAAGAATGCAAGGCTGGCTATAGTGTATTTCAACACATAAAAATTAAAACATTAATATATCTGCTCATTGTCCTTTTTAAATTTTTGGCATATATTGAATATAATTGAAAAATAGCAATTTACAATATATGGGCAAGCAGTGAGGAAATTGATTATTGATTACCAAAGTGTTTTATGGTTTCTTGATTTTGCCTTTTCTCTCAGTATAAATGGAAAATAACAAATTATACATGCAGAAAATGTGAGCAGTACATATTTGATATAGAATTCTTTTAACATTTTTTCCTGTAAAATTTAAAAATTTTCTTTTTTAATTTTTTCCAGTCTTTAGATGACCTTTCAAGTGTATCTTCTGATGACTCAGTACAACTTCATGCTTACATTTCAGATACCGGTAACAGACTTTATACTATAACTGCTATTTTAAAAATACTAGCTATTATATCCTTATTTACAGTTTCTTTTTTCTGTCTTATAGTCATATTTTTTTCCTGCAGCATGTTATTTATTTGTATATGTACTTGGATATTTTCTTCTCTCTGAGATTGTCGTTACTAACATTCAAAAAAACTGTAATAAACTCTGGAACAAATCTTTCCCTTTTTGCACTTGAGTTTAGCTGATAATTGTTTGCATAATTCTTATTTGAGGACATCTTCTTTACTGGGGACATCTCAGTTCAGCTTTTGCTTTCATACAGGCAGAGCCAGACTAAATGATCAGCATAAAAGAAGCTTCTCTGTTCCTAAGTTTGTAGAAGTTCAAAATATGCTTGAATGGGCTGAGAAATCTATAGACCATCATGATCAGCCAACAAATACAGAAGCATTTGTGTACCCAGGAGAAAAATAAGTCAGTCTCTTTCTTTACCATTGTATCTTTAGAAAATGCTGATGAGTATTAGATAGTGATAGTTTCTTATTTCATTACTCCTAGAATGTTTTTCATATCTCATACTGAAGTTCAAGCATGTGTATTTCAATTCAATATCATTCTTACATTTTAGATACTGAAAAAAGATCCCATAGTGTTCAGTCAGAAAGATACTAATCTGCATTTTATGAAGATCTTTGTTTTATTTTGCTTCTCACTGGAGCTAGAATATCGTGCATTTTCTTCCCTGCCAGGTTTATGGAATGAGTTAATTATGCTTGCTGACTCAGTTGTTCCTTTATCTTTTACACATAGTTGGTACATATATTGCTGTTAAATGTCAAGCGATACCACCATTGCCAATTAAAGCAGAGATTTTTCTTGTGAAATTTTGTTTCTAGCTTTTGATAGCTATCCCACTTTTTCTTCCCAGCAGTTTCTTAAAATTCTTTCGTAACATTTCTTTTCTTCTTAGTTTGCTTATCTTCACATCATGAGAGTTTTTGTTAAGGTGCAAATGGTTAGCATTTATCTTTTTAGTTTTTGGCAACCTTAAACTTACATATAAGTCTAAAAAAAGACACTTGTTTAATTTTGTTGTTAGTATCTCTTTTTTCTAAGGATTATGATTTTCCAGCTGCTTTGACCATTTGTTCATTTATTTAACAACTCTTTACTAGCTTCTTAAAGTGGATGGAGAGTATTATACTAGGAATTTTTTTTATTTTTGTTACTGGGAATCAAACCTGTGACTTTGCCATTGTCAGGCAAGTGCTTGTGCCACTGAACTAAATACCCAGCCCTATGCAAGGAATTTTTAATAAATTGTTTATTAGAGTCAGGCAAATACTGGTACTGAAGAGGCAGCATAACATTGTGATTCAGAGCAAAAGTTTTGCAGTGAATTACTGGGATTAAGACCTTATCATTTCTACTTAATAGTGTGGCAAAGTTTGTTGTCTGTACTTGAAACTTCCTAATAATAACACCTACCTCATAGGGTGGTTATGGGACAAATCAATTGTATTAGTTGTTAAACATGATAGGTGTCATATACATATTTGTTGATAAATATTTATTCTTGTAGTTGAATACCAGCGTCTAAATCCCCAAGTCCTTAATACATCTATTATAGAACCTAAAGATTTACTGTTCAGTACAACACATTTAAAAAAATCTTCCAGTGCATGATTAGTTGAATTTCACAACAAAGAACCCCCAGATTCAGAGGGCCAACTAATTAAAATAATTTCTGAACCAAAGAAACTATAGATTTAGTGGCAGTACTGAGCCTTGTAAATGCACCCAGAATGCCCATCAACAAACACCACCTGTTGAAAGTGAATTTATAGAAAACAATTTAAAAACACAGGAAGAAGTGTGAGCCAGCAAGAGATGTGTACCATATATGAGATATATGGTATCCTTAGAACTGGGAGATGGACAGTCTTCTCCAGGCATAAAATGAGTATAGGAAAATATTCAGAGACATCCTAAGGCAAGAATAAACCAAAATGAACCAAAAAAAAATTCTGAAATGAAAAGTACAGTAATTGAAGTTAAGATCAATGAATGGATTAAGAAATAGACTAGATGAGGCTGAGGGGAAAACAGTATAATTTTTGAGACCTAGGATAAAATACAGCTCAAAAAATGGAAAGTGAGAAAGAACATGATTCAAGATACAGCTAAGATTAGTATAAAATGGGAATAGGTTTTAATGTTTAAAAACTACCTGGCTTGTGTGGTATTTGATGTCAGTAGGAAATTATTTTTTTGTTGTTGTTAAATGCCCAAAATAAATCACATCCCCAAAGTGCTGAATGTTCCCAGAGAAGGAAAGAATTGCCTGAAGATAAATATTATCATACACCCAAATACAACCAAATAGTGAAGGTTAGTACAAGAAGTTACTTTGTTTCTATTGTTTCTTTTCTATAAAATTTAAGAGACTCCCGTGCTATACTTTGAGGTGGTGCCATGGTAATAGCATTAGTAATAGATAAAAGGTTTTGGGGGAAGAAAACCCAAAATGAACATCCTTTTGCAGTGGCAGTGTTATCATAAAGTCTTAGCTTATTTTGTGCGGTAGTCCTCTTATACTTAGATATATAGTACAAAGGGTAGGAAGGATCTGTGTTATCCCTTGGTGACATGCTTTCATCTCAGTCTTTCATTTTAAGTTGTTCATTGTTATTTTTTCTTCAACTTCCTGCCTTTGTGTCTTTTGTTTCTTCATTTTGATAAATGGCAAGTATTTGCTGACTGTAATCCGTATGCTGTGGCAGGCGTTTGTAATGACCACGGCAAAACGTATGCATTATATGCCATCACTGTACACCGGCGCAATCTGAACACGGAGGAGATGTGGAAAACCTATCGTCGTTACAGTGACTTCCATGACTTCCATATGAGAATTACTGAACAGGTAACGATGCTTTTAAGGCTGTGTACTTTGTATTGTTTCTTAATTAAATCTTGATTGTAAATTTTTTTGTGGATCTTCAGATATTGACCAAAATTAATGAAAGAAAATAAGGTTAGAATTTTTTATATAATCAGCATAAATGTTAGAATGATTTTATTTGAGCAATTAATTAATCTATTTTGAAAACCTTAACCAGTTTTACCCATTGTGGACTAGTGGAGTAGTATTAGTATTATATCTTGGAAAATTAAAATAAGCATGTATTTCTGATTTTAAAATTGTATGTGTGTGTGTCTTGTGCTTTGTAGAGACATTTGGTTTGGAGTAGGGATAGGAGTTGCTGGAGAACATTTCATGCTTTATTTGTTAGAAACATAATTCAGAACTAGTTATTTGTGTTGTATGAAAGGAGAGAAGGTTAGCACTCCCCTTGACAAGGATGGAAGAGGCCCTTGGGCCTAACAACACGCATATGATTTAAGGCATTGCCACCTACTTCGTGGCATCTAACCACTGTTTTTTATATCCATACTGGTATGAATCAGTAACAGCTCTCAAATACTACAATGCAGTCAAAGTTAAGTTTTTATAAAAATAGGTGATAGTATGTTTAATAAGCCAGTGTTGTGGACAAATCTATTGAAAATAACAAGAGAAAACATAGTAGCTACGGAAGATCATTTATATTGTAGTTTTATATGTCTTATCCATTGCATGTTTTTCTAGGAAATTGTTTTGCTATCTTGTTATGACTTGGTTTTCCCTATAATACAGAGAGGATAGATATATAGGTAGAAATTCACACATGGGTTGTTTTTTTTTTTTTTTTTTTTTCTCTTTTTTTCTTAAATTATTTACGGGAACAGATTATATAATGCAAGATGTAAGGAACAAATACTCTGAGGAAGAGACGCTGAGAAACCCGAGGCTTATTTTGTAGCATTATAATATAAATTCTAGCAATCTATTGTTTGCTGATTAGAATGACAATTGGACTAGTTTCTTCAGTTCAACTTCAGCATAAGCAGAGATGGGGATGGCTATCACAAAGAGAATGAGAGATGCAATGGTAGTTGCTATTGTCTTCCCTAATGTGGAACTTGAGGACCTAAAAAGACTTCATCATCCTGTAATGATTTGATTAGTTCTATAACATGCAATAAGTATATAAAGTGGGTGAAGATAGGGACAACTATTTGTAAGAAGCTAGAGACAGTTAGATAATGAAGATCTCCAGTGGACTTGCTTTGAAATCTGTATTTCTTTAAATCGTTTTTTTTTTTTTTTTTTTTAATGTTCTGTTCTGTTTTGATATGGTTAATCTTACCCTCTTTGAGATGTAAAACAAATGTGTAGGACTGATAATCATATTACGGAGCTTTTGTTCGATCATAGAGCAGAATGGTTTGTAGGGTCACTTTTTTGAATGTCATTCTAAATACTTTAATTCTATAACCTGAACAACTATTTCGAAGATGACAATTTGTAACTTATCAACCGGCAATTTCTTATCTTTTGTTTGTCTGTAATTTTGTATTATTTCTACCCTTTTTTTTAATCTCCATGTATTTTTTTTTCGTTTCCTTTTCTTTAAATTAAGAAAAAAAGAACTAGTTATTTTTAATGTTAACTTTATCCAACAGTATCATAGTTAAATTCTAGATCTTTTATGTTATTCTGAATCACAATCTAAAGCAAATTTGACATGAACCAGATAATGTTTTTAATTTTTATAAAGAATTCTCTTGTTTTTTAGGAGGAATAGTAAGAACTCTTTTTTTTTTTTTTTTAAATCTTTTTGAGACAGGGTCTTGCTGTGCAGTTCAGGCTGGCCTTGAGCTCACTTTGTAGCCTAGGCTGGTCTCGAACTTGCAACGATCCTCCTGCCTCAGCCTCCCGAGTGCTGGGATTACAGGCATGAGCCACCACGCCCAGCTCAGGAACAGTAAGAACTCTTTTTTTTTTTTTTCTTTTTCATTTTTATCGGTATCAGAGATCGAACTCACGACTGCCTACTTGCAAGGCAGGCGCTTATGCCGCTGAGCTAAATCCCCAGCCCCTTGGAACAGTAAGAACTCTTAAAACCGATACAAAGAAACTATTTTCCTTTCCTATTATTGATTACGAATTTTATCTTCTAAGCTTAGAAAAAGTAAAACGTTACCAGTTAAATAGATGATTTATAGAATTTATTTTAACTCTTGGAAATCTGATTCACTGAAGGTTTTTAGATATACAGATAGTATTAAACCAATAAAAATAATAAAATTAGCCTGATTGTATGAATTAAAGCTTTGACTTAATATTGTGCTACTTGAGAAATCAGAAAATAGCCTGTTTAGTTAAGATGGTGGAAAAAGTGTGTTTGATACTGTGGTAATATTAAAATACTTGTGGCTCTTTTGAAAGAAACTATTAATAGCTTCAGTGTGGTTTTAGAAGGTTACTGTTAGCTTCTGAATCTTATGATACTGGAACTATTTTGAATTATATTCTAATAAAATGAACAACTTCTGATATGTATGTACTTTTGCTGAATAGATCTTTATTTTCTATCTTAGTTATTTGTTTATTTTGCCATGTTGTTAAGGCTGGCCTTGAACTCACTGTGGAGCCCACACTGTGGCCTTAAATTTGTGATAATCCTCCTACCTCAGCCTTCCAAATTCTGGGATTACAGGTGTGTCCTATCATGCCTGGTTCAGATTAATTTGTGTACAGAGGTGAATTAATGTTCTCACCCATGCTGAAGGACTAATTGCTTTAGTCTTTCAAATACTACTGTTTGATAATTGTTTTAAAAGCATATACTTATATATCTTTCTTCCTATCCCTACACTTTTACTAAACAGGAGAATTATTCAAAATAATTTCAGTTGCTAAGGTATAGTTTTCTTTGGTGAAAATAGGAATTTGTTGAATGTGAGATTTCCATTGTGCCAATAGTTATCTTTTCTTCTACAAAGAAGAATGTCATTGCCTAACTGAAAATATTCTATGCAAGATGCAGATATTCACATATTGACAAATGTATGTAAAAATATACTATTAAAAAAAACTTGATAAGACAGGCCATACAGAAATTCACCTTTTCAATATAGCACTAAAAATTATAAAAGGACCAGCAATATAGCTCAGTGGCACAGCGCCTGCCTGGCAAGTGCAAGGTCCTGAATTTTGTTCCCAGTACCGAATTAAACAGAATTAAACAAATTAAACAAAATTGATATAGTATAATTTTTCAGATGGCTCAATGTAGATAAAGGGGAGGGGTATGTTTTGACTTTGTTTCTTTTTAAAGTCATAGTTATGATTAGTTAATGATTTTTCACAGAACTTAAGAATTTAAAATGAAGATTGTAGGTTAAAATTAGCTTTCACCATAATGTTAAACATCTGTAAATAATATAGGCTGTTAAACTTTTAGTTCTTCCTTATCTATATTTTTTAAAATTTAAATTCTCTACAAAATGATGCAAGCAAAATTTAGTGACTAGTAATTAACCATTTGATAAGAGTATATATAACCTGTGGACCTGAATAATCGTTAATTTCATGGGTAGAAAGATTTTTAAAATGGGTTTCATTTTGATTATTTAGCTTCATGAGATATGCTGTTTCTCTCATTCTATCACCTATTTAAAGATGTTACAGTTCTAATTTGACATTTTATGGAGATTTACATCATTAAAAGAAAGTGTTAGCCAATGTATGTATAATAACTGATACATACATGGTTTGTGTTCTTTGTAAGCATTAGCTTTAAAGGCTGCCTTAATTCATGTAAATTTTGGGGGTAAACTTTTAATTTCATACATTTTTAAAAGTATTTTATGATATTTTGAAGAGTTTATATAGACTATAAAAGTCTTGATTTTAAATATTTATACAAAAATCATAACAATAATACGGTATTTGAGAAAACTATGTTTCTGTTCCAGATAGATAACCTTAAAAGGAATTTGTTTTGATAATCTAGACCTTCTGTATTATTATGATGTTTAGTTTTTTTCCTTAAAATTTTCTGGAACAGTTTTAATGCATATCATCTTATTTCCATAGTGTATTAGTTTACTAGGTCTGACATAAAAAAGTACCACAGATAAGGTGACATGCACAGCAGAAATTTATTTTCTTATATTTCTATAAGCCAGAAGTTCCAGATCAAGCTAATAACAGTTTTGATTTTTCCCTAAGCCTCTGTCTTTTCCAACTGTCTCCTTGCTGTGTTGTCATTTGGCCTTTTCTTGGTGTGTGTACATCCTGTGTGTCTGTGTCCAGATTTCCCCTTATAAGGACACCAGTAAGATTAGTGTCTGACTCTCACCAAAAGCTGAGATTTAATTTAATTACCTTTTTAAAAGCCACATCTCCAAACATAGTCACTGTGTGTGACTGTGAATTTGGGGGAAATGCAGCTCAGACCTATAGTACCTGATAAGACCCAGAAGCAGCTATGAAGTATATAAAATTGAGTTAACAGCTTAAGATAATGTGGATAAGTAATATTTCAGAAAATTGTATTTTATGGGAACTTCAAAAGTAAATTTGGTTATATAAATTGAGATGGTTTTGAAAATCATCAGATTTATGAATGTCACTAACTGTATGAGATTTTCTGTATGAATTGTCTCCAATCTTTTTTTTTTCTTCCTATGACTAGAATAAAAGAATTGCTTTTACCTTTCATATATAACATGTAATAAACTTAGATCTAAACAACTTCAGATTTTTCTGCACATTTTGAAATTTATCAAAACCTTCAGTTTGGGTTAGTAATTATACTAATCTCCTTTTTAGTCTCCATACCAACAGTGATTTTTTTTTTTTAAAGTTTGTTTTACTTTAGAGTTTTAATTTAGAGTATGAGTCACATGGGGAAAGCAATAAGACTGCTTGAACTTTCAGGTGCTAGCCTGTTATCCAGGCATGATTGGAGCTGAATGATTTTGCTCTTATGCTATTTTAGCGGAAAACATGGTTAGCAATTGGTGTTTCAGCAAGGCATAACAGATAACTGTTGTGGACATTTGAAGGTGAAGCCAAATGTGAAATTTATAAATGTTAGACTTACACAACACAGACATTTACTTTGTGTTTGTAACTTTACAAAAATAAAATGCATATAATGGCTCTTAATTTTTTTCTTTGTGTAATCTGTGTGATTATTTTTCATGTAATGATGGCAAAGAGCTTATCGGTATTATACTTTTATGAACTGCATACAGAAATATAGCTACTGTCTTTATTTTCAAATTTGCCTTTCCTACTTTCAATATTATATACTATGATTCATTAATTTGTAATCACTTAATATTAAATATATTCTCATTAAACATACTGTCATAACTTGGATAATTAAAAATTTTATTAGTATTTTATTCACCAAAAGGTTAAGATATTTGTTAAAACCTTTTACCTGTAGCAGTGGTTTTCAGCCCAGTTATTTGGGTGGCTAAGGCAGGAAAATCTCAAGTTCAAAAGGCTCCCCTGAAAAACTTACTGAGGCCCTGTTTCAAAATAAAATAATATAAAGAATTGGCGAGTGGAGCAGCTCTGAGTTTAATAAGTAGTGCTGGGCCTTTTTTGATGACAAGTTTGAATCGTCTCAAAGCATTAAAATGAGACCCTCATTTGATCAATATCCATTTCATTAGTTTGTCATTCTTTATTGAAAGTTTTTTGTAATAAATACCATTAGAAAGTGTTTTGGACCTATTTGGACAATATTTTTTTTCTCTGCTTTTTGCTTAATGTAAGAAACTGTTCATAAATCATTTGTTGAAAATACTTTCAGTATGTAGAGAAATTGTCACATGAAATATATTTTGTCTTCTAGTTTGAAAATCTATCAAGCATATTGAAGCTTCCTGGTAAAAAGACTTTTAACAACATGGATAGAGATTTTTTAGAAAAGAGGAAAAAAGATCTAAATGCCTATTTACAGGTAAGTTCATGTTTACCACTATATTTACCATAGATTTTCATGTTACATGTCACACATAGTAGATTTCTTTATTAAAGAATGAGGCTGGAGGGTCAGCTGAGTGATTGACCACATACCTAACATGAATTTGGCCCTAGATTTAATTTTCAGCCCCACCCCTTTTTAAACTGTCATGATGAATGACAACCACTCCTGAGCACCACGTTAAGTGTTTCATGCAATCTTTTTGATCATTTGTAAACACCATTTCCACATTTATTAATTTAGAAGTTTTCTAATCACTCAGATTGTGCTTTTTCATACTTACATGACACAGCCATTTCAGAGTAGTGTAATATACAGGTATTTTGTGATAGTTAAATGTTCTCAATTCAGTGCATAGTAGCTCTTAACAGTGTTTCAAAAGCTAGTGGATTTTTATTCTCAGGTAGATGTGTGTAATTGTCTCCCATGGCTCAGAATGATTATAAGGCTTCTAAAATGAATTCAAAGAAAGGATAGATCTAAAGTATTATTTCTTATGGTTAGTGTCCTGGTTATATAGTTTTATAGGAGAACAGAAAATGTATAAGTTACTTGTTAAAAAATAACTAGTTTATTTTAACCAGTTAATGATTTATGAGGTTTGCATGTATATTAGTAAAGGTATCAGCCCAGGTGTTTAGTGTTCCATTGCTTAGCTCCTGATTCTGTAGAACAAGAATCATCAAACTGCAGACTCAGTCCCACCAATGTACTACCTGCTTTTTATTAAGAGATTTATTGGAGCATATTCATACATTTCATTACCATTTATTGTCTGTAGCTGATACCAAAAACAGCAGAGTTGAGTAACTACAGTGGAGCACTGTGGACATCAAATCCAAAAATAGTAACTATGTGGCTATTTGTGGAAAAATTTTGATGAATCCTGTTTTAGAATTTAGTGAAACTTAGTATCCTAAGTATTTTGATTGGAAGATTGTTTTCTTTTTTGTCTTAAATATTTATAGCTGTGACTGAGTTTGTTTGTAGTCATTATTGTAATTCCATGTGATTATATATTGATTAAACAGCAAAAGTAATCTCTGATGTTACCTTTGTCCTCTTGATTTAATTATCACCTGATAGCTTTTATTATAAACCTTATGACCCTTGTTGAATGTTTTGATTTCTTAAAAAAGAATTAACTTCAGTTCTATTAAACTCTGTATGAATTGTAAAATTTAAAAAATGAAGACATCTTTCTGAATCTGGTCCTATAATGTAGCTTTTAATTGTGACTGTACCATGTATTAGTTCATAAGCTCAGTATGTTTTAAGTTTTCTCATTGAAAACACTAAGCTGTAATAAATTTATTAACATTATGAAAGCATTATTTTGTTTGGAACTTCTTTATAACATTTAGAAGTTTTTATTTGGGTTGTTTTTTGTATTTTCTGCTTCATAAAATTCTCTTTCTAAATGTTCTCTTTCTAAAATTCTCTTTCTAAAATGTTAATTTTAGCATTATGTAAGTCATCCTGTTATCAGATGTGTGGTCAGAATATAAAAATTAGCAAATACTTTTGGACAACTTTGACATTAGACATGCTGAGTGTCAAAGTAACAGATAGAAGAATCTATCTCTATCTTCAAGTTATTGGTGACTGTTTTAACAGGGCAATTCTTTTTTAAAATCTAGAATTAAATTCTTTACATTCTTTTTAAGAGACAAAATTACAAGCAATGATTTTCTTATCTTGTCATTGTAAAATAACTTTGCATTTCTTCATTAGTTACTATTAACTCCTGAAATGATGAAAGCATGCCCCGCTTTGGCTCACTGTGTGTATGACTTCCTTGAGAATAAAGCCTACAGTAAAGGGAAAGGGGACTTTGCTCGCAAGGTAAGCAAAGCATGGCATTGGGTTTCTTCTTGGGTCTGGTTTTAAATAAATAATTTAGATTATATGTTTTAAAGCTAGAAAAAGTTTTAAAATGCTCCTTGACATATTTATCTTCTATGTTTTAAATGTATTATTGAAAACAATATTTACTATATATAAACTGGTCTTCACATGTATAAATATAATCCAGCAGAAGCTTATAAAAATGAACAAGTTTTGAAATGGTGCACTGAGAGATATCTGCCTGACACAGATAACAAGCTTTTCATTATCTTAAAAAGGAATTTTGTTTTGTTTTGTCTTACTGGAAGAAAATATCTTTCACATGGAATAATAATAAGAAAAAATTACATAGAGTGTGTTCTGAAAGTATATAGACCTCTCAAGTAAAGCCTTCAGTATTTAAAATCTTTTACATAATTCGAACAGAATATAAGACCTGTACTTGAAAGAAGATGCTACGTTAGGACAGTTTAAAGTAAATGATACAATGCTCAAATTGGGCAAGACAGCTTAGTAGGTGAAAACATAAACCGAGACCAGACAGCTTTTGGCTCAGCTCCCTGCTTTGATAGTTACTTAATCTCTTGGTACTGTAGTTTCCTCAGAACTGACAATGTTAATTCTCATTTTAGAGCACTGTGTGAATATCTAGGATATTGGATTTTAACATCCTCCTTGAATGCTGCATTTCTGAATTGAATTCTTTGTTTTAATAGTAAATTGTAGGGTGCTGACCTTACAATTATGGCAGGAATGTATGTGGTTCTTATTTTTGCATTCCATTGTTGAAGTGACTGCATTTAAATCTCAATTAAATTGCTTTATTGCCATTAGAAATACATCCCAATGTTTCATATTTTTGATGTTTATCTTATTTTCTGTCTTATAATTGTATCAGTTTTAAGATAAACCGATAAACTGATAGCTTTTTGATTTAAAGAAACATCATATTAAATGTAAGTAGAATTTTTTTAATGACTAACAGTAGAAGCTATATATGTCCTGTTACATAGCCCTTTTTTTAAAAAAGTGTCAGGGATTTGGCTCAGCAGAGTAAGTGACTGCTTGGCTAGAGTTAGGTTGTAAGTTCGATTCCTGGCACTAAAAAAAATTGTTGAAGTTTATTTTTCTGGATTATATCTGATAATCCACAGTAACATTTATCATAAATTATATTTGTAATCATTAAGGTCATCTTGGCCTTGTGTCAGAATAAATTTTCTGTGTATCAATAATTTGAAGTTTTTATTTCTTTTTTTGACTATTATACTGCAATATTTTCTCTTTAGTTTCAGTAGAAATAAGGTAGCTATTAGAAAAAAGTTACATGCAATTATTTAATGAGTGGCTCTCCATAACTTGAGAAGTGATACCTTATAACCCATTAATTTGATCCTAATTTGGCAAAGTCTATGGAAAATTCCCAGGAAAAGATGATGACAAGCAACCTTCCTTTGTGCACACAATCTTTTCATCCAAATTTATACCCTAATGGGAAGGAAAAAGCCATAGTTAGAAATCTAGATTTAAGTTAAAATTTCATTGTGTTGTTACCAATGCAAAGGCCTCAAATGAGTGGGTAACTGAATACATACACAGCATCTATGTAAATCAGGCTAAGTGTACACTTAAACCAGCAGTCCACAATTTACTCGTGTGTCTGGTAAAGTGAAACTTCTTTCCCCTTTCTACGTATCTATTTTAAGATAAATCCTGTTTTTGTTAATGTAATCACATGGTGATAAGGGGTTTTTGTCCCCTCCAAGGTTAGACCTCAGAGTCACCTGTGAATGTTTTTCCTTCTTGCTTATCCTAGTTCCTTCCTAATATAGACACTTAGACTTCAGTCCTAGAAATGGGAAACACACATAGACACACACACACACACACACACACATATCCCTGGTGGGGCGGTCGATTCTGTGAGTTTAGAATGGTGTAGTGCTCATTTTAATTATTATCTAATTCATTGATATAAAATTTACTTTTACCTTAAAGAACTATCAGTGGTAGTTAAGCCTCATGCATAGATTATGTATAGAAACTGCATTCATACAGCTTGTAAGATTAGCATTCAAGTCTGTGCTGTGAAGTATAACAGGTTTGAAATTCTAAAATGTGTTTGGATGTTCAGTTTTTAATGTAGATTGAGAATTAAAATGAAATGCATTGCCTTTTATACTTCTGAAATTCTGTTTTCTGTGAATGTTACAGCTCATTAAAAAGTGGACATTTCTCTAGCTGTCCATTTTAAATGTCGTCATATTTACCTTTTTTTTTAGCTTATAACATTGTTACAGTTGAAATAAAAAGAGATAATGGAAGTAATGTCCCAGTTAATTCAGTTCTAACGAACAAAAACTATAGTATTTAGAATTAGAAATACACATACTGACATGTACATGTATCCACATTCTTGCACGTGACAATGAGTTTTATATTTTTCACCATCCAGTCACTTTTCACCACTCATTTTATTTGTAAAATATGTGTTTGTCTTGGTGTCTGTCCTTTGGTTTTAAACTGGGTTGTATGCTGAATGTCCTTCCTATGATTCGGTGTTCCATGAGTATATCTGCAGTACTGTTGACTCGACTTTTTAAGGAGTAACCAAAACTCCTAAACCTTTTTTAGTTTTCTTGAAATTCAGGTTTTATTGTTATTAGTTGTTTCAGCTTTTCTAGTTTTTTTAATGGAAGCCATGAAAACATAATAAGAGTGAGAGAGTATTGTCTTCTTGCTGTCACCTGCTTCACATATGTATATTATATTAAAGTATCAAATTTTATTTCTTGACCTTCTGCAGAGTTTTACTATTTTTTGTTTTCTCTGATTATATTTTCTTTTATACGTAATTTTTATATTCTATCTGAAATGATTTACATACCTCATTTTAACTTTTCTTTGTCCTTTGTAATGAACCTCAGATCCCTTTCATAGATTATTGAGCATGTAATGTATCCTAAACTTTATTTTAAAAAATAAATCTTAAATAATTGTTAGTTATTTTGGCTCACTGTGTATTTTACCTGCTTGTTTTGTTTTCATTATCTACAACAAATGCCTGATTTTTGGTTTGAATTGTGGTAGAAGGATGTAATGGCTAATTCTACTCGCATCAATTTGTTAACTTTATTACTCACAATTTCTTTAATGTGAAAGCTTATATTCATTTTCTAGCAATAATATCATTAGTACAATTTCTAAATAATATATGTGAATGTGAAAAGTCCATTCTTATGCGCACAAGGGACAACATTTAAAAATGTTTTAAATGCAGAAACATAATACATACTGGAAAATGAATGTGTCTTTTGTGTGTTGCATTCTGTATTTTCTGAGACTTCTGAGTTGAATAGAAGATCTGATATAATGAAGTCATGGTAAAAAATCTTTCTTCCTTTAGATGGACACTTTTGTAAATCCACTTCGAAATTCTATGAGGAATGTTTCAAATGCAGTTAAATCACTTCCTGATAGTTTGGCAGAAGGAATGACTAAAATGTCAGACAACATGGGCAAAATGTCAGAAAGATTAGGTCAAGATATAAAGCAATCATTTTTCAAGGTAAGAAGACATTTTTAGTAATGTCTAAAGCAAACCATTTTAAGTCAACTAAGATGCATTGAGCTCCTGCCTAGATTTACCTTATTTCCTTTTCAAATTCCATCAGCACAATTTTATAAGGAAGGAAAACTAAAGAGAATAAATTCTTATCCAAAAACGTATCTAAAAAATTCAAACACTCATCATTCTCTATAACAGAGTTGAAAAATCTATTTAAAACAAGTACTTAAAATTAGTAAAGTTGGGGGCTAGGGATTTAGCTCGGTGCAAATGCTTGTCTGACAAGTGCGAGGTCATGAGTTTGATCCCCAGTACAAAAAAAATTGTTATTTTTGTACTGTTTCATAATAAAATGCCTTTTATTGTTTAATACTCTAAATTCTTTAGCAAGTAAGTAAATATTATTTGCAAGTATATTATACTAGCATTAGACATGAAATCTAATCTTTTCTGTGATTCAGATGACAGAGATAGTTCCAGATCAAAAGAAGGGAAATTCTTTCATTATCACAATCTTTGGGTTCATACATTATCTTGTATATACCTCTGAGTGACATAGAATCCTTTCTCAGCCTTTTCCTTATATTATTGACAGACAAAGATATTGTACCAAGTAGCTTGATGGGTGCCTAATTTAATTTTTTTAAAAATTTGATGTGATTTTTAAAGTTTATAATCTAATCTATTTTTAAAACTCCATAAAGTTTTTAGAATTTTTTTGTTTGTTTAGAATTTTTGTTTGAAGGCAAATGTATGTAAACACAGATTTTCCTAAAAGACAATTTTTTAAATAATATATATAAATCATATTTTCCCATTAATGCTGATCTCTGATGCTTTATCTTTATTCTTATTGTGAGAAAACACGCTAATAACTAAAGTGATTGGCAGTACCGCTTCTGTTGCTCATATGACTTTGTGTAGAAGTCATTGAATTTTTCCAAGCTTTCTTGTCCTCATCAGTAACTTGTGGGGATTAAAGTAAGTGATCTTGGTAGTTCTTTCTATGTTGACATAGGATTTTTAGCCAATATTGGTCTTTCTGTCCTTTTTTCGCTTGAACTTACTGAATACTTGGTTAATTGCTTAAACCTATCAACACTATCACAAGCTCTTTGCAATAAAACAAAGTTGTACTGAAGTTTATTGAAGTTTTGTTTCTTGGGTAGGCTGCTATTTGATTTTCAAGTCATTTCACCTTTATTTGTTTTAAATTAATCTTCAAAGTGTAGGAGTTTGACTAATTTCCCCACTGATTTCAGATCAATGAGTAATGAAATAAACATTCTTTTTTACATATTCGATTTGAAGTTGTAGCTTGTTAAACTTTGCTTATATATTACACCAAAATTTAAGTCCAATGTTGATACTTGGTTTGTTAATGTGTTGTGTTCTTTGTCTGCTTTGGTGTGTTTACTTTTTTTTTCCCTCGGTAGGTGCCTCTAATTACAAAGACTGATTCAGATCCTGAACATTGTCGAGTTTCAGCTCAACTTGATGATAATGTAAGTTATTTTTTTGATAATAAATTTAGTAGTTGTAATTCAAATCATGCTTTCAAGACTTTCTAGTTTTTATAAATATGTATATGTGTGACTCACATGTATTGTTTGATAAGTCCTTAAAAACTGAACTTGTCCATGAAATCTATTCTATACTCTAATCAAGTCCCAGAAAACAGGAGTGCTCCTGAGATTACCCTATGCTCTAGTCTTGTCATGGCTGTCCTTCACCAAAAGTATTTTCAATTGCACGGTGACACTTTATAAGTACAGCTATGTGCATTCCTCTAATTAAATCTGGCTTTCTTTGTTCAACATTGTGATTTTCTTCCATGTTGTTCTATGTGATTATAGTTCTTCATTCTTGGGACTATTGTATTCATTTGTATAAGTTTGGCACAATTTATTCATTATATTATATACAGAATTTGTGAATGTTCTAGTACCTGCCTTGTGATTAAAAAATTGTGTTCATTTCTCTTGCGTCTTTACCTAGAATGAAATTCCTGGGTCAGGGAATATGTACAAATTCAATTTTATCCATTCCTCAGTTGATAGGCATTTAGGTTGTTTCCAAGATCTGGTTATTACAGACTGTACTGCTATAAATGTGGGTGCACATATATTGCTGTGGCATGAAGTTTTCAGTTCTTTTGGCAAGATACCGAGAAGAAGAAAAACTGGGTTGAATGGGATCTCCAATCATAGTTTTTTGAGGAATCTCCACCTTGGTTTCCAAAGTGGTTGTACCAGTCCAAATTCAATTTTAGTAGATAGTAAATAGTTTCTATTAGTTTTCCAAATATGTTTGAAAATAATAGTTTTCCAAACTATTTGTTCCACTTAGAGCATCACTAATAGTACATAAGAGACTCTATATTCTGCCTGTATTCATTATTCATGGTTTTAAAATTTTAGCTATTCTGGTTGTTGTAGTCCATGTGGATTCACATTTCTCTTAAAATTACTGAAATCTGTTGAAAGGGTGAGGCTTTGTTTTTTAATGCTCATTGCCTACTTGGGGTCTTATCTTGTGTGTTTACATAGGTCTGTTGCTTATTTTTATTGGCTTTGCTTGCCTTCACTTTTTATAATGTGAATGAGTTTTTTGTCAGATATATATGGATTATCTTCCACTTGGTGTCGCTTTTTTGTGCTCTATACATAATTTATGCCTACTATAAGAATGTTGTCCTGCAGTTTTCTTTGAAAATCTTTTAGTTTTACTACGCTAACATTTAGATTTGCAGTTTACCTGCTGTTGATTTTTCTGTACAAGATGTGGTAAGATTCCGGTCGATCCAAGTACTATTTACTGGAAAGGCCATTTTTTTCCCTGCTGTACTGTTTTCTTTTGTATCACAAATTAACTTACCATACATTTTGGAATCTGGTTCTTGACTTTGTATTGTTTTTTCTTGGGTAAACTTAAAGTTATAATTGTCGTCTTTCAGTTTCCGATTGAATTTATTTTATCACAAACTGTTAAAATTTTTTTTACTTGCTTTTTTCAAGAATTTTTTGCCACGTGTGGTGATGCATGTCTGTAATCCCAGCACTTGGGAGGCTGAGACAGGAGGATCACTGAGAGTAGAAGTCTAGCCTGGGCTACAAAGTGACCTCAGGGCCAGACTGAACTGCATAGTGAAAACTTGTCTCAAAAAGTCCAAAAAAACAAAAAAAAGTTTTTGAAAAATGTTTTGAATTTTTCTTTATTCTATCCGTAATGTCATATCTCTTGAAATGTGCTTTTTGCAGTTTAACTGTTTACTAGAATTGTCCTGTTACCAAGCTCATGAAATTGTTTTATCAGAGAATTGAACAGTATTTATTCTGCTTCCAAAATGAGATAAGGGTCTCTCTCTCTCTCTCTCCTTTTGGTGTATCCAACCTGCAGCCTACAGGCAGCTTGCCCTCTTTATTTTTTTTAATGTTCTAATAACAAATATAAAAACAGAAATTTTGTTACCTACAACATTAACTATATTATATGTTTATTCACCACCCAAGAGAATTAGTCTTCACTCAGCGTGGCCCAGGCAAGATAAAACGATGGAATCTCTAAGTGAGGGCTGGTGAATGGTTTAGAGCTTTCAGTGATATCAACAGCCTGCTGTGACATATGTGCCATAGGTTCACCACTACTGTTACAAGCACTCAATTTGTGAAATAGGAGGTACACTAAGTATAATATAGTAATGAAAAATGTGTAATACATTCTTCTTCTTCAATACTTAAATTATATCATTGATGAAATAGTTAGAAAAATTTTCTTAGTGGTGAAGAAATAGTAAACTTAGTTATTTTCAGTCCTAAATCTGTAGCAGCTTTGCACATCGTACATAATTTTTTATATCAAAGCATTCTGGGTATCTTCCTTAGTGTTTACTTGTTAATTGAGTAATCCCATAATGAAATTATACTGAATTTTAGTTATTAAAAGATAAAAGAAAATTCTAGTAATCTAGTGTAATATACCTTATATAATGTTAATTTAGTTGTTTTTTTTCCTGAAAATGCCAAAATATATATAGCTTATTAACCAAACAAAACACATTATTCTATATTGTTTTGTGCAACTAGATACAGATACTAAAAATATTTCATTCTTATGAAAAAATACATAAAATGAAAAAATACGTAAAATACAGAAAATAAGTAAAGGACCTAGCATGGCTTAATCTGCTAAAGTTAAGAAAGTAAATCATTTTTTTCTTAAAACCATCATTTATCTACTTTAAGAAGTACTTTATTTTTAGGAAAACACTAACCTTGGAATTTTCTCATTGTAGGTTTATAAAACTCTATCCTGTCAAAGTGTCTATTAAAAAAGTTTTTTTTTCTAAAGTAGAATGAAATGTCAAATTATGACTTACTGAAACAGTACCATTTTGTTAAAGCAGAAAAATAGCCATTCATGGTAGGTAACTAATTCTAACAAATTTATTCTCATTTCTTCCCATGTATTATCAGGTGGATGACAATATTCCTCTTAGGGTAATGTTGCTTCTCATGGATGAAGTATTCGACTTGAAAGAGAGAAATCAGTGGTTGCGAAGGAATATTAAAAACCTACTTCAGCAGCTTATTAGAGCTACATATGGTGACACTATTAATAGGTATCACTAATTTTTTTCCCTTACTTCAAGCCTGAGCTTAACTTTTAAACTTTTACTTCTGGAAGTAGATTGCTTAACTTTCATCAAAAAATTTCCTCTCTTAAGTCTGTTAGGAAGATCATTGACATGGGCTATTTCTCAGATATAGCTTATTCATTTACGCTGTTTGCTTCATGAAAGCCACATTTTATTTTATTCAGCCTAAAAAATTTTAAGCTTGTTTATGTTTTTTTTGCTTTCAGAAAAATAGTTGACCATGTTGACTGGATGACCTCACCTGAACAAGTAGCCGACTCAGTGAAACGTTTCAGGTACGTTTTCAGACCCAGTCACTTCTTTCAGATAGTACAGAATCTAGCATTACTAGCTTTTACTCCCCCCCCCCATAAAGTCACCATTGTTATACAAATTATAATAAACACTTAATCCCAAATACGTATTGATCTTTGTTTAAATAAAACAGAACAGGAAGTGTATCAAAGAAAAGTATTTAACATAATAGGCTGCCATTTACCACAGTATTGTGGCTTTAAAATAATTGAAATCTTAGTATACTATATCAGATACCTAGTTTGGGGGGATTTGTGTTTTTTAGTTTTATTTATTAATCTTGATTTTTAAGTGAAGGCTTTAGAAAACCATGTTTTTTATTTGTCCATGGTCTAATTGTTTCTTTATATTCTTTTCTGATTTGGGAGGACACCATACTGAGGCTTAATCCCAAGGCCTTACGTATGGTAGGCGGACTACTATGGAGTCACATCTTTAGCCCCCTTTTACCCACTTTTTCCATTTCTTTTCTCCCTTCTCTTCCCTCACTAAATTGGTCAGGTGAGCCTCAAACTTGTAATCCTCCTGCTTCACTCTCCCAAGTAACTGGGTTTGCAAGCATGAGATGCCCTCTTATATCATCATTTAAATTTTAATGAAATATTTGAAACTTTTGGGCCAGGAGTTTAGCTCAGTGGCATAAATGCTTGCCTGGCAAGTGCAAGGTTATGAGTTCAATCCCCAGTACCAAAAAAAGGGAAATTTTGAAGATAGTACAAATTAAGCAGCGCTGATACATTGATTTATCTGCTCATCCCACAAGATGGATTGAGCCCTTCCTCTAATAGTCCGCAGTCACTGAGGAGTAGGAGGTAAGGCGCAGTCCCTTGGAAAAGCACAGAGAGTAGGGAAGTAAACTTCTTTTCTAAAAGTGAAGATGTGTATAAAAAGTGATGGCATCCTTTGGAAGTAAGGAAAGAAAGCAAGAAAAGAATTAGCAATGCAGAATACTGATCGTGTGCTTGGCACCGTGTCCAGTACTCTGTGTACAGTTTCTGACTCTATCCTATTTTATAAGGTAGATGTTTTTATCTATTTTGTTATGAAGCAGTTGAGGATTAGAGAACAAAAGTAGTCTTTCCAAAGCCTCTTGTGATATAGAAGTGAAAAATGTGACCTTTCCACTCTGAAGCTCAGTTTCTCCTCTCTACACAATGTATTTCTGAAAGTTAGACTAGCTACTCCAGCATGTTCATTTTCTTTCAGGGTAGGTGACTGATGTCCCTCTACAGCAATGAGACACAGTCTTGCCTGGGCACAGTACTAGTCCTGGGATCCCATCCCTAAGGATGGCTCTCAGTTAATTGGATGGAAGGTCTGGATATTAAGATTTATTAAAGCCTCCTTGTTATTTCTAATGTAAACTTAAGAACCCTCTGAGGAATCTCCCTCAGACCAATTCCAGATGAATGTGTAGACCCTGCTCACTTTCTGCCTCCGACCAACCATTAGGGAACCAGGAATAAAGGAAGTACACTCTGAAAGTCAAAGAGAAGAGACTATTGTATGTGTGAAAGCCGGGTGTGGTGGCACACTCCCGTAATATCAGCACTGAGGCTGGGATCATTGTGAGTTCAAGACCTAACCTGGGCTACAAAGTGAGCCCAAGACCAGCCTGAACTGCAGAGAGAGAGACCCTGTCTCAAAAAAGATTAAAACAAGATTTAAAAAAAAAAAAAAAAAAAGCAAGCAGGCATCATTGTGCAAGTGATTCCCCAGTTCTGAACAAGATGGCCATATTCGTGTTCATGCAGCAACGATGGCCACAGTTGTGTTTGTGATGCAATGCATAGTTCACAAAAACAAAATTTTGCCAGACACTTCTGTTTGCCAACCAGATTGTTTGCAAACACAAGCATACAATTGCAAGAGAGTAGCTTTTTAAACTGTTAAGGAGTCCAAATTCAGGATGTCCTGGATTATGTTTAGATGAGATGTTCAGTACCCAGGGACTCACTTTGGAGTTTAAATGACTGTAAGGTTTGTGTACAGACCTTACATGTTGTTGTCTTTGTCAGTGTTATTAACTACTAAAGGGCATAGAATTTGTTAATTTTCTTTATGTCCTTTAATACCTGAAACTGAATCCTGTACTTAGTTGATGTTTTTTTAACTGTCATTATACTGTCATTAAGATTTTAGAAGCATTTTCTGTTTACTTTGTACTTTATATAGAAATTTGAAGTAATTGTATCAGCTTCTTGTGTGAAAAAAATGAAATGCTTACAAGATTTATTTACTCTTTTTAAATAGAGATGCATTTTGGCCAAATGGCATTTCAGCAGAGACTGTTCCATGCAGAGACAAAGCTATACGAATGAGAACAAGAATTGCAGGAAAAACAAAATTATTTGCAATTATGCCAGGTAAGTGTGCGTGTTTGATTTAATGTTCATTAATTTGTAGTTCTTTTGATATTGCTCATGCAATTTATCTAATTTTTATTACAAATGCTGCCATTTGATGGCTTACTATAGAAAAGGCACTGTGCTAGGCATTTCTTTTAACTAATTTTCCTAGTAGTCTTTTGAAGCCACCAGGCATTATTAACAGGTTTATATATGAGGAAAAATGAAGCTCAGGGAGGCTAAGTAACCTGTCCAAGATTTATAGCTAGTGAAAGATATGACTGGCTCTTCTGTGAGCCATTTGAAAGCTTCCTGCCCTCAAGCACTGAGGATTGAACCCAGGGCTTTCTTACTGAGCTACATCCCCAACCCCTCCCCTCTTTCATGCTAAGTTACCCAGACGGGGTCCAAATTTGTGATCCTTCTGTCCCAGCCCCTCAGGGTGCTAGGACTAGAGGCAAGTGTCACTGTACCAGCTTGAAAGCTTGTATTTTTTCTTTAAATTTTAAAGAGAAAGAAAAAAAAAGCAATAAAAACAATGATACAGAATTTCAAAACAAGATAATGAGAATGGTTAGCATATTGTATATTGTTATCTTCAAAGTAGTTTAGTTACATATAGAGGCATGCTTAAATGATCAAGCAATGTAAGCACAAACTTTTTTCAGTGAATTGAAAGAAAGTTGTATAACTGTCTTAACCATCTTTGTGTATCTATGTGTTTGTGTGTGTGTATATATATATATATATGTGCATGTATATATATTTTCTTTTCCCTTTTCTCCTTTCACACATCTCCATCAATCTTTCCTTTTGAGCTGTTTCTCTTTTACAATATTTATTGTAGATTTTGGATCTTTTTCCATTTCTTACCCTAGAGAGACAATAGGAAGTTTACATATGTGAGTTTGATTTCTTTCACTTATGAGTACGGTCTAAAGTTGCATCCATTTATCTATAAAAGCCTCAAATTTATTCTTCTTTATAGCTAAATAGTGCTCCATTATGTAAAAATAACACATCTTATTTATCCATTCCTCAGTTGATGGGCATTTGGATTGTTTTCAAGACTTAGCTATTACAAATTGTGCTGCTATAAACATGGGTGCACATATATTGCTGTGGTATGATGTTTTTAATTCTGGGAAAACACTCAGAAGGGGACTAGCTGAGTAAAATAGGACCCATACTCCTAGTTTTTAGAGAAATCGCTACACCGATTTCCACAATGGTTGCACCAGTCTACATTCCCACCGACAGTGGAGAGGAGTCCCTTTTTCTCCACAGCCCCACCAGCATTTATTATTGGTTAATTTCTTGATGATAGCCATTCTTTCTGGGATGAGACGGAATCTAAGGGTTTAATTGGCATTTCTTGAATGACCAATGATGCTGAACATGTTTTTTTCCATTTATGTTTCTTTTACATTAAATTTGTGTAACAGCTTTGGGAGTGTAGCCATTTTCACACTGTTGGTTGTTCGTATCCATGAGCAAGGGGTATCATTCCATTTTCTGTGTTTTATTTGCCATTTGTGTTTCTTCATCTGAGAAGTGCATGTTCATCTCAGCTGCCCACTTTTGGAATGGATTTGGAGGGCCCAATGTTTTTGAATTCTTTATATGTTCTAGATACAAGCCTTTGTTTGAGGTACAGTTGTCAAAATTTTTTTCCCACTCTGTGGGTTGTCTTTTCACTTGGTGATTTCTTTTGATGCGCAAAACTTTTTAATAAAATGAGATCTCAGTTAATTCGTCAAAGTATTTCCTGTGCTGTTTGAGTTTTGTTCATAAACTCTCTGCCTACTCCTCTGTCTTAAGATTTCTACCTATTAATACATCAGTTTTAATATTTAGATCTTTGATCCATTTTGACTTTAGTGCATGGTGATAGACATGGGTCTACTTTCAGTCTTTGGCAAGTGGAAAGCTGGTTATCCCAGTACCATTTAGTAAAGAGGTTGTCTTTTTTTTTTTTTTTAATTTTATTTAAGGAGAAAAAGAAAAAAAGCAGAGAAAGGGTACAAGTTATACAGATTTACAGAAAAAAATAAACAGTAGGAAATCACTAGTTAATGGATTACATATTGTCATCTTAGAAATAATTGTTCAAGTACAAAATTAAAGCTTATAAAATGGACATTCCAACAGTGAGACTGCAAACAGTTCTGTTCAATGATCCAACAAAACTCAGTAATATCATTATCTATCTTATACACTTAAATATACATGCAGTTATATCGTTTAGAGCACTTTCTTTTCCTCTCTTTTGTACAATGACAATTACACATTTTGGGTTTTGTTGCTCCCACATTTCTTATTACTTTTTTGAAAGAGAAGAGGTTGTCTTTTTACCGGTGAACATGTTTGGCCCTTTTGTCAAAGATAGGTGACTGAGTGTGTTTGTAGTTGTGTCTGTGTCTTCTAATCTGTTCCATTGAGCCTCAGATCTGTTTTTATTCCAGTACCATGCTGATTTTATCACAGTAGCTTTGGCATATAATTTCAAGTCAGGAATTGTGATGCCTCCTGCTTTACCTTTGTTGCCTAGGATTGTCTTTGCTATTCTGGGTTGCTTCTGTTTCCAAATAAATGTTATGAATGTTTTCTATAGATCTGTAAAGTACGCCAATGATATTTTGATTGGGACAGCTTTGGGAGTATAGCCATTTTCACACTGTTGGTTCTTTGTATCCAGGAGCAAGGGATATCTTTCCTTTTCTGAAATCCTCTTTGATCTTTTTTTTTCAGTGTGCTATAATTTTCAATGTATAGATCTTTTATTTCCTTTGTTGGATTGATTCCTAAGTATTTCACTTGTTCGGATGGTATTGTCAAGGGTGTAATTTCCCTTGTTCCTTTCTCTCAGTGAGTTTGTTGTTTGTGTACAGGAAGGCTATTGATTTTTAAGGCTATTGACTTTGTATCTAGCTATGCTACTGAATTTGGTTATTAATTCTAGAAGTCTTTTGGTGGAGTTTTTGGGATCATCTGTGTAGAGTATCATGTCATTTGCAAATAGTGATAATTTAACTTCTTCCTTTCCTCTCTTTATTCCTTTTATTTCTTTCTCTTGTCTCATTGCTCTGGCTGATGTTTCCAGAACTATATTGAATAGGAGTGGTGATAGTGGACATGTCTGGTTTCTGATTTTAGAGTAAAAGCTTTCAGGTTTTGTCCATTTAGTATGATGTTGTCAGTTGGTTTGTCAGAGACAGCTTTTATCAGATTGAGGTAAAGACTCTATTCCAATTTTCTATAGGGTCTTTATCATGAATGAGTGTTGGAATTTATCAAAAAGAAAGCTTGTATTTTTAACTACTATGCTATCTCAAAACATTTTGGAATAAGTTACAAAATCAAGAAAATTATAATAGGAATAGGCTAATAGAAGAATATAAAGTACCAAATTTGTTTTGGAAGAGTGTTCTGCTTTAGGAGAACAGACATTCTTTCTAGGTCCATTTATGTGGAAAAAACTGATTGGTCCATTATTAGTCTCTATTAAAACATCCCAAAGAGAGTGTAATAAAGTATTTTGTTGTTTTGATTTGAATGACTTTGTTAAGAGATAGCTGACTCACTTAACTTAGATGTACTTTGTCACCTTTATCTTTTTTTTCAGGGAGAAAGGTTATCAGGAAACAGGGGAGGTGGTTTTGTGAGTGTCTTTCAAAATGCCTAGATAGCTTTTCTCTCTTATTTTAATAATGTATGAAGAAAACAGAAAGACATATTTAGAAGTTCTTAGTATCATAATATATTTCTTAAAAGATTTTCTTATAATTTAAAACTATTTTCACCATAAAATTTTTGTGATCAGTTTCCCCTCAATTAATTAGAAATTTACCACAGAACCATTAATTCTTCTCTGTATACTGTTTCATTTGGTGGTACAAAGTAAAGAAATAGCAGTTTAGAAAATTAAGAAACAATAATTTAGGATGGTATGTAACATACTGTTATAGTAACCTAGACTATACTGTAGGTATGTGTTGAAAAAATCTTATTCACTTATTCAGTAAATATTTCTTGAAAGTGCACTGTGTGCCAGACATCGTTCTTTGCACATATCTTTCTTTTTTGAATGTTACATTCTATTAGGAGGAGATACATATATATATAAAGCGTAGCATGTTAGCTAGTTGGCAAATGCTAAAGAAAAAAATAAAGCCTGTAGAGGTAATAGGCAGCGTCAGGTGAATTGTTGTTAGGATGCCTAGGGAAGTCTTCACTGAGAAGACAACTTTGGTATGAAGATTTAAAGGAAATGAAGATACAAATGCATAAGAGATAAGTACCCTTGACAGCCTACCTTTAGGTAAATTCACAGCATAATCGCTTTAAATTTTACTGCAGTCCTAGATAGATACAGAATTTTTAAAAGTTATATATTTCTTCCTAAAGGAGCAAAATAATATTTAGGCTGCTGGTATTATTTATGAATAATTCCAAAGTAGTCCCACATGATGGTCCCATACTCTAGTATCTCCAGTAACTTCTCCTAGTCTGTGGGTAAATTCCAAGCTTACCTGCCTTGATGGTCTTATTATCCTTTCTTTTCCATTCTTTTTCTGCTATCTCTTACAGGACTTCTGAAATTCAACCAAATTTCTACCTGCATTTCTTGAACATACTTATTTTTTTTTAATTTACTGCTTACTTGTTCATTACCAAGACTGATCTTTCATTTCCCTCTACTTATAAAAATCCTGCCCAAGCAGCAAAGTCTGTTACAGTTACCCTTTTCATGAAGGGAATGTTTCCTTGTTAACTCACAGGAAACCTCTAATTATATGTAACATCTACTATACTTACTATATATGGGTTACTCTGCTATGTATACTACATATTTTATTCAAGTTCATGTTTAGGCCTTGTGTGTACTTCAGTAAAGAGATATGTGTATTTTGCCCCTTTTCTTTTAGATGAACTGAAGCACATTATTGGAGCTGAGACAACGCGGAAAGGTATTCTTCGTGTTTTTGAAATGTTTCAACACAATCAGTTAAATAGGAGAATGGTTTATGTCTTCTTGGAAGGCTTTTTAGAAACGTTATTTCCACAGTATAAATTCCGTGAACTTTTCAACAAACTGCATTCAGGGTCAAAGCAAATGCTGAAATACAAACAGAAACTTCAAACTACTCAAGCACCTTCTTTACAGAAAAGGTGACACTCCAGTCTGTGAAGCTGGTGTTCATTTTGTCCACGACTGATGGTATGGACAGATCTTCTGGGGCTTAATTCATATACTGTTGTGTCTGCACCAGTCTTTTAGTGTCTCAAAATAGGTTATTAATACATCCATAAGACTTGTTCTGCACATCCTCATCTATAGTCCAGCCACTACCAAGAGAGATTTCTGTGTCTTAAATGATTTGGTGCATAATTTGCAACACTGAGAGAATATTTGCCCCCATCTCATGCAAGAATGATGGTGGACTCTTCTGCTTCAAGCTAATCAACATTCTCCAGCAGTGACAAAGTGCCAGAGCGATGAGGGATAAGGAAAGCACAAAACAATGGTTCACAGATAAATTCATTAATTTCTTTAACAGTTGGTGACTGTACAGTGTATAATTTGGAGAAATTTGTTGTGCATAATGATTTTGTAAATTGGTGTTAGCATTTTGATATAGTGTGGATTGGCGAGGTAAATGATCTTTATAACATCTATTTCAGGTTTGGAAAAGCAACAGAATGCCCTTAAAGAATGACATAATTTATTCCTGAATTACGGTTTTGTGGCATAAAACAAAAATACATAATTTGGTTAGATTTAATATCCATTGGTATAAAACAAACTGTAATTGATTCTTAATATGCTTTAAGGGCTCTTTTTCCCTTGCTAAGTTTTCTTTTGGCATTCTGTGTGCAGAAAAAAAGCATGTGGTAGCTTTCATTTAAGTTTCAAAATTTATTAGTTTTAGCTTTAACAGATTACTGATTATACAGAAGGGGAGTAATTTGTTGGAAGAACTGCCAAATACATTCTGTCTTTCTAAAAATGTGGAGATTAAAAGAAAACAGTACTCTATTGAAAGTTGCCATATGATAATTTTAAATCGTGTGATCTAGACATGCCTTAGGTAACTATAAAAATAGTGAATCAGAGGATTAATGAGCTTATTAGTCATACGTAAACATACAAGTTCCTAATTATAATCTGTACATATATGAAAATAATGAAAACAGAACTGTACTATTTTTTAAACTATGCTTTTATTTATATTTCACATAATGTAAAATTTTAAATAAAGCTAGCAAAATCCTTCACTGTATACATTCAAATCCCTAAAATAATTTTATACCAACAGAACAAAATATCTTTTCCAGTTTTGAAGCCTCTGCATTTCCTAGTTTTCTCACTGTCCATTTTGTCCACCTTGGAAGTCTTCATATCCCTTGTATGCAGGATTTCTGCATAGTTTTAAATGCTTCCATTGACTGAGGGTTTGGATGTATCAGCTTCTTTTGTTTAAAAATATTTAACACTAAAACCTTAAAATAGTGAAGCTACTTATCAGACCACTGAGCCAGGATCCTGGTATTAAAGGAATGTCTGGGTGCTTAAGATAAAGGGACAGAGTATTAGTATCCCAGTTATTTGGGAGCTTTAATGTTGAAACAAGATATTATTGTCTTGCTTTCACTTAGATCCTACTTACAAAGTGAAACCTATTAATAGAATAAAACCTTCCTTTAAAGCTACATAATAATCATATTTATTAATAATGCTGTTGTGCATACTTGTGGTATGCGTACATTCAGCGTGTGTTGCATGTCTTCAGAATTCCAGAGGTGAAATCCCTTTCATTGCAAGCTAGCAAGCGAGAAAAACCCCCTTAGTAGCTCTGGTGGAAGAAGCATTTCTTCTTGGTGCTTCTCCTTGCTCCCCCGCCCCCACTCCCGCCCCCACCCCATCCCGTCCCGAGACTTTAAAAGTGAGATATGTGAAACGTGTCTGTAGGAAGCATCAGCATGGCCTAAGTGCAATGACTTTCATATATGCCCCTCTCCATTTCAAGTATATTTTTTGACAAGAATAAATCTAACTGTATACAGAAGAATTCTTGTAAGAGCCTAATATGTATGTGTGAAAAGGCATTTCCATATAATGTGAGGAATATTGACTGTCAACCAGGGATAGAAAGGTCATGTAAGATTGCAAGTTTTCCTGACAGAGCCCTGCAAGATAAATGCAGTCATACCAAAAAGAACTATTTGACTACATGGGTTTTTTAAGTAATTTTGGTTTAAAAGAATTTATATTTCAAAAGCAGAAATGTCAACTAGTAGTCTGTGTAAACAGTGATGCGTCTTTATGCACATCTGTGTTTTATATCGGAGGAAGCTGTGGTCATGCTAAAATTAGAGATACTTTTTGAATGACTTGGTCAAGCTGTGTGTAAAATATTTAACCCGTAAGTGAAATACGGTGTACTATGTTTATTAAAATTATTACACTTAATGCATTTATTGCATTTATGGATATATACATGAAGAGGCTTTATGTCTTCTGATATTTGATTTTTGAATGTGTCTTTAAGTCAGTGGTGCCTTTAGGCAAAAACTTTCAGAATTAATCATTCTTTGAGTTTTCTGATTTTTCAGATAACATGTAAACACTTAGAAATCATATTTTATTCACCTAAAAATTGATTGTATAACTTAAATATAGCACTTAGATGAGCATTTCCTATAATTAGGGTGTTCCAAATAGTTGCTGAAAGCAATTGTGCCATTGACCAATGGAAGCACTTGTTTGGCCTTATTTTTTTTTTTAAAAAAACAAACATTAAGAAGTTTCTTGACTGTTTCAGCTTGCTCATTTTAAGTTTCTGCTGCTGGTGTTGGGAAAAAATCAGTTAAGTACTACCAGAAAATGTACCATTTTTTTAAAAAAAATTAAGAACAATATAAATTTTGCAATCTAAAAATTTAATTTTGTGCAATATTTTCATTTAATGCATGTGTATTTGAGTAATTGTAAAATAAATGAATTTTTAATGTTTTGAGATGTAGTTTAAACTGTCTTCTTAACCCAACAACTTACATTCCATTGTTGCTGCATCCTCTTATTTAAGGACTTGTTTAAAAGTCTTTTTTGTCACTCCTTGTAAAATTCTTTTGGTAGTAGTAAATTTTGCTTATAGGAGCATGGCTCCTGTATTACAAGGGAAAATATAAAGAGCACATTTTAGGATTGAAAATTGTTAAAAGATACCTTGTGCATATCATTGTACAGTATGTGTCAACTGTGTGCCTAACTGTTCTACCAATACTTCCTTCTTTAACAAAGAAGAAACAATCAGAATGTCAGTTATTTTTATTAACTAAAAAGAGGATTTAAAATTTTTATTTGGTTTGCGTTATATTCTGTCCATTAGAGGATACTAATAAAGTATTAACAAACATTTTTGTTGAGTTTATTTAGTAACGTATTTTTGTGACTTTAAAAATGCTTGCTCAACAGTCTTATTTTTAGCATCTTGTGTTTATTTTCTTCTCATTGTAGAAATTAAGCAGTTAAAAAACAGATGGGCTTTTGCCAGTGTAGTGATGCATGCTCATAACCCTAGCATTCAGGAGGCTAAGGCAGGAGGCTCACCATGAGTTTGAGGCCAGCCTGAGTTCAAGCAGCCTGAACTACATAGTGAGACCTTGTCTTTGAAAAAAGAAAGGAAAAGAAAAAAGAGCTTTTGAGTGATGACGTATACTAACTGAATTTAGTTTTTCCTTCTGTGGTATGAGACAAACACCAGCATCAACTTGAAACATCAAATCTACTACATTTAACCATGTGCACTGTGTTAGTAACATACAAGATAATTAAGCACAATGTTCATTCTCAATGACTGCAAGTTTTCCTCTGCCATCATATAAACAAGTGAGTGTTCGGTATAAAATTTTTATAAGTAACACTGCATGGCATTTCTGTTTTTTCATTGCATTTTCTTGTTAGCACACTTGATCATACCAGTAAAAACCCTGCTAAGTATCTTGTCCGCTTCCCATGAGATGTATCCTTATCCCTCACAGAGTTCATTATTTTGGTACTCACATCCAGATTCTACTCCAATGTTTCCCATAAAGGGAACTTTCGATGAGCGGTGGCTTAAAAAATGTTGTGTCCCAGACCTTTTGGTTTTTCAGCCCAGTTTACATTCCCTAGCTAAAGATGCTATATCTTTCATTTCTCCCCTAAGTAACATTTTTCAAACTGCATTCCCTGGGGACATGATCCTCAGACTTCAGCTCAAAAGTTTGTGGTTGACTAAATTTGGGGAATTAGGTAACAGATTTAAACAGATTTCTCATAGAATTTCTCAGAAGTTTTGATACTCCACTTGAATTGTGAAGGACTATTAAGAAGTTCTGGATAGTCCCACAGATGGCTCGGCATAAGTTACATAATAGTGTAAAATGGTATTTAATTTAAAAAAATAGTGGAATAAAATAATAGGACTTCATGTTGAAAGGTTCCAAAACTTTTCCAGTGGTCATTCACTAGGACTCCCATGTAGCCATATTCACGGTTGGGATTTCTTGTAGCAAAAGGACACAACAAGACCAGAAGAAAAGGATGCATGGGGAAGAGAATGAGAGATACCAGGATTAGGCTCCCAGCAGTTCTCTCCCAAAGGAGCCTTAATTCTCCCAGCAAGGAGCTGTGCTAATGAGATGTTGCCAACCAGCGAAGACTTCTTTGTGTCTGACTTTACTTGGGAGAAAGTCAGGTAGATACCTTCTGCCAGGCACTTCCCAAATTCCAAAGTTAGAGGGAAAGCCCATGTTCAGCTTAAACCGTATCTTTTATTCAAACAGTTTAGGCTTAATGAGCTACTTTTGCCAGTCACAACAACTTTATGAGGTATAAGATGCTATTTTATGGTCCCCATTTTACAGGTGGGAAAACTAAAAAAGTGGTGAGTTGTCCAAAATTTTCAGAAATAGTAAGTGCTTAAGCTGAACTGAGCTCAGGTGGTTTGGCTCTTGAGTCTGTGCCATGGATTCTTAACAGTGGCACTGATGTCATTTGGAGCCATAGATATTTAGTAGCACCCCGAGGCTCTGCCATTTGTATTTCCCCCACCTTGCAGATAAGACACATGAAAATGTCTCTAGATACTGCCAGGTGAAGTGTCAGGGCAAAGTTGCTACCAGTTGAGAACCCCTGACCTAAGTAAACTCTCAGTCAAGAAACAGATTGAAGGGGCTGGGGATTTAGCTCAGTGGCATAAGCACCTGCCTTGCAAGCAGGCGGTCGTGAGTTCGATCCCTGGTACCGAGAAAAATGAAAAAGACCAAAAAAAAAAAAAAAAAAAAAAAAAAAAGAAACAGATTGAAGACTTCAGCTCTGGATAACTTGGTCTTTTCTCTGAAGAACCGCTAGTTTGTGACTTGCCTTAAGGATAGAGGTGGGGCAGCAAACCAAGTTTTGTCTTGCTTTCATTTGACTAAGTACTCTGTAGCTGGGGAAAGAGAGAAAGAGTGGGAGAGGGATTTTTGCCTCTAGAGACAAGAAAAATAAATTTTGAAGGTATTCAGAGATTTGAGCTGAATGATTAATGATGAACAAATTGCCATTTTGTTCCCTGACCAGGTTAGAGGTTAACTATTAACTCATTGCCACTGACATTATTAACGTGGTAACAAGTCATACCTGTGTTTTCCATTAAATTAGCTGTTGTTCTTTTTATAAGTCAGTCCTTCAGAATCCTGGAAATTCGCATACAGTCTTCATTGCAAGTCCTCATTTCTCCGAGTTTTTCTTTGACAGGTAGATGTTCCCCTGGGATACCCAGGTGACTCAGGTACTGGCTGGCTTTGCCTATGAAAACACCTCATTGGCCCCAAAAGATAACCTTTCTCCAATACTAGACTGCAGTCATCAGTTAGAACTTGCACCCTTACTGTTTTCCACCACAGACCCTGACCTTTGGGTCTTTTACTTGGTTTTGGCCAAGTTCAGTTCTGGTTTTGATTGGTGTACAGCTGCGTTATTTATTTCTTCATTGATGGAAAGAAGCTTGCTTTTGTAATCTCATTCTGTTTCGAGAGACCATTTGTCCTGTTTGTTTGCCTGTCTTGTGGAGTTTGAAAATCTACTGGTATTTCAGTGAGGCCAACAACTGGTCCCAACTGCAAGATTAAGAAACTCTTCATATTGCGTCCTCCACTGGCTTCTTTGGCCAGTGGCCGAACCCTCCATGTTTGTCATATGTATACAGTATTCTGAGCTTTAAAAAAATGGGTAAAAGGGGCTGGGGATTTAGCTCAGTGGCATAAGCGCCTGCCTTGCAAGCAGGCAGTCGTGAGTTCAATCCTGGTACTGATGAAAAGGAAAAAGACAAAAAAAATGGGTAAAGAGAAAGACCTTTCATGCTTGTTAAGAAGCTGCTCCCTGCAATATTTTTTCTTTCTCTCTCTTTTTTTTTTCTCCTACAGCAAATCAGTGAGTTCCATTCTTAGTTTTTGATCCACAGATTAAGTTGTAAAAGCAAGACTGTTAATTCTGTTTGTATGCTTGCATGAGTGTGCACACGTGCACACCTGCATGTAATGGAAAAAAGCCTTCTTAGGAAAGTAATTAGCCTTTTACAAGTGTTTATAATTGTAATTCTTGTATTTGCAACTTGCATTCATTCACTTTATTGTCTCTCAACTTGAAATTAATTAGGCATAAAATTGGACATTTATATGCACTACTGGAGGTAATTAATTCAAACCTACAAATTAACTATCAAATAGAAGGGAAAAAATAAAGTTAGTTTCACATGGTTTTAAAGACTTGCGACTCAAGATTTTTCCTTGATTTTTAAAACAGTTTCATGAGTGAGAATGTACAAGAGATGATTGAAAAATAGGATGCATGTTTAAACTTTAAAATTTTATGATAGTAAAAGAACACATTGCTATCAATCCTCCCCAGAATATTCCACCTTGCTTCAAACACACTTACTGTGTTGTTCTTGCCACTTTTCCCCCCCTTTTTTAAAAATTTTAAAGAAAGACCAAACAAAACAGAAAATAGGTAGAAATAATACATACATTCAGAGAAAAAAAAACAGTAAGAAATCACTAATTAATGTTTACATATTGTTGTTTTACAAATAGTTGTTCAGGGTACAAAAATGGAACATGTAAAGTGGGAATTCAGAGAGACTGCAAAAAGTTCTATTCAACTGTCCAACAAAAAACTTAGTAACATGGTTGTCAATCCTATACACTTAAACATACATGCAGTTATTCATATCTTCACTTATGTTTAGATTAAACAAACTAAAGCAGGTTAAAATCATTCTGAACAAAGAATAATAGTATTTCTGGATTTCACATCATGACACTCCGTGATCAGCACTGGGTACTGTAGTGTCTTTTTTAAAAAAATTTGATTTAAAGAAAGACTAAACAAAACAGAAAATGGGTAGAAATAATACATAATTTCAAAGGAAAAAAAATAAACTGTAAGAAATCACTAAGAGTCCCTTTTTAAAGATGGGGTTAAAGGCCATCAAGTGCATCCTCCCAAGAAATCACACACATGCATGTGGTATGGTTCCTCTATGGCTGTTTGTTTCTGTTGCTGCTTTTATGGAGGTCTTGCTACTACCCTTTGTATGAACAGCTTGTTTGGGAACATCCCATCATAATCACATTATGATACTTGATCTTGAGTTTTCATCTTATTAAATATATTACCATTGACATTAGCTAATACATTACTCTTTTTTTATAAATAATACAGTATTTCTAGAAAAAAATATATACAGTACAAAATCACCAGTTAACAGGCTACACATTATCTTCCCAGAAACAGTTGTCCATATCACTAAATTAAGGCATATAAAGTGAACATTCATACAGTGGAATTGGAGACAGTTCCGTTCAATGATCCAACAAAAGCTCAGTTATATGGTTTTCCGTCCTACACTCTCGAACATACCTGCGGTTATATCCCTTAATCCACCTTACTTTCCTCTCTTTTTTACAATAACAATTAGACTTTTAGGGTTTTATTACTCTCACGGTTCTTATTTCTTTAAGAGAATAAAAACAAATGTGACTAAGCAAAACAGTCAGAACACAAGGGTAGGCATAGCACGTGATGCAAAAATAGAATACCAGGTGATCAAAAGTGGTTACCACTGTGCCTCTTGCTATTTTTAAATTGAGTTGTGTATATCATCAGGTATAATGGAATTGATCAAAACAGTACGGAACAAAACCAATAAAATCTACACTGAGGACCTTGTGGGCTTCAAAAAAAAAAAAACAAAAAGGATGATAGTCAATCCGTATTGGGCATCGTAGTATATCTTATTGCCTTCAAAGTGATTGCCTATACCCTCAAACTTGATACTATCAAACAAAATAGAATATATAATAATCAGACAGAACAAGATGGGGAGAG